TGGAGCGTTTCTGTGCTCCCCTGCTCTGCTCTTTGCTTCCCCATGCTGAGCTGCTGCTAGCAGTAATGTGGCCAAATTGCTTCCTTGGCTGCTGCTCTTGATTGACTCTGCTCCATGGGGAGCTTCAAATGTGCCCACGGGGCACCACAGAGCTGAGATCCCTCTAACCCTGGTGTTTCAGAAATGATGAAGGCCAACAGAGCTCTGGTTTCCACTTTGGGAAATGATGCACAGTCGTAACAAGTCATTACCCTGAAAGAAGAATTGAGTGCTCATACCGTATGTGGTAACTTCCACTAATTAAAACACATTCTTTTTCAGCTGTTTTGTACGCTTGATTGTGCATGAGGAAAGGCCTTTTTATTCCCCAATTGTGACTGGTGCAATGCTGCGGTATATTTACAGGGGAGCTAAGTATGGAGAAAACGTGATTAAAAAGACACGTTTTTTACTTTTCAGTGATAGGCCACTTAGTTTTTGCCCAGGGAGGTGGTGGAGTCGCCATCCCCGGCAGTGTTCAAGAGGTGCCTGGATGAGGAGCTATGAGATGTGGCTTAGTAGCTTGTGGTACTAATAGGAATGGGAGGGTGGTTGGGCTAGATGATCTTGCAGGTCGTTTCCAACCTTGCTATTCTGTGTGATTCTGTGATTCTCATTGCTCACGTTTTGGCAGACTGGCTTATTTGAAACAGAGAGAGAGCAAATATATTATAATCACTCTTGTAATTTGTTTCTGTCCCCCAGCTTCACTTCTGCTCCCTCCCCAGCCCCTAACCCAGTGGTGGTGGGTTATTATTTTCCACTCCTGGCCTCTGCACCAAAAGTGGAGTCAGCTGTTTCATTCTCTGAGTAGGAGAGATCTCACACCATGGAGGTACACAGCTCACTCTCATGAGATCTGATATTGGCTTTTTTTTAAAAGAGAGAAATGTAGGTGGGGGAAATGTGACCCCAGAGGCTGCTAGCCTAACTTAATCTCTTTCTGACAATGACCCAGGACCCATTTCTGTTGGAAGATGACAAGCAAACCTCTCTGTCTTTGACAGAGCATTTGTGGCAGATAAGAGGATCCAGCCACAGTGTACAAAGCCTGCAGGCTGCCGATGGCCACCACATGCCATAAGGCACCACAGGTCTTAGTTCTCTTTCTGGCACGTACCCCTGGGTTTCCCTTCAGAGCTGACTCTAGCTGTGCTTTTGGATGAGCTGGAGCTCTGCATTTAGGGATTTGTGTGGTAATCCTCTCACTGGCACTGTGCATCAACACACTGTAGAGGTGGTAGTGCTTCTCTTACTAGGAATGCATTTCTTATTGCTGGGAGGAGATAAATACCTCTTCATAAAATTCATGTTTGGTGCTAGTAGGATGTATTTGTTAGGTGCTCAGATGCTCTGACACAAGCTCATTTTACCCCATCTGCATCAGAAAATGGAGACTGTGGGATGAGTGGGCAGTGTCCTGAAGGCAGTCACTGGAGGTTGTGGTACAGACAGAGCCTTCTTCCAGGCTTCAGAGTAATGCACAGTACCTCAAAGAGTCTCTGCTGTGTTCCTCTAGCACATTCCTGTCAGTGCCCTATTGCTCTCTGATCACTTCAATACAAGGCAGCTCTCTCTGTCCTGCAGACACATTGGTTAGCAGCTGCTTTTTGGATCAGATTTGTGAATGCAGTGCAGTGCGTGCAGGGTGCCTGCTGGTCGGCCCCAGAAGCTTGAGAGAAAAAGCAACAAAGCTGGGGGATGATGAGTGGAAACTGCCATGAGAAAAAAGATGTCATACCATGAAGCCAGATCATGGGAAAACAAAAGCAAACACTTAGAAACATTTATTTACAGCTCCTCCCCCTATCATCACCCCCTCAGAGGAGTTTTGAATAATCTGTTAGGCAAAGTTGCCAAAGTATCACAGACAAAAATGCGTGGCTTCTGAAGTGTTGCAGTTGTACCCAGATAGGATCCAAAGTGCTTTCAAAATTGCATTGCAGGTAGAGCCGTGTGTTGCTATCTGAAAAATAAGTAACTGATTTAAATGTATAAGGGGAAACAAGTGAGCTCAACCATGAAGTAGGTCTCAGCTGACTTTCATGAGCAGGATCATTTGCATTCAGCCTGCTGGTGAACCCAGAGGAGCACTACAGGAAGCCATTTCACTGCCTCACACGTGGCGTGCTGATGGGCTCTTAGTTGCAGTCAGACAGGGAAGTACCAGAGCTAAGGTTGGCTGTATAACCTTTGTCTTTCCTCCTCACATGTCACAACACAGGCTTTATTTCCGTAATCCAACAGTCATTTTCCACCAGCCCCCTGCCTCTGTCAGCGCAGAGGAGGCACAATGTAGCCTGGATGAGCTGATCCCTGCAGCTCAGTGTGCTGTTAGTATGTGGTCATGGACCAGCTGATGTGTAGCTTGTCCCACTGAAGGGACACACACAGGACTTCATGGACGCAATCCTCACACCCTTAAGGGCTGAAAACCCACAGCTTGCATATTTGAGACCAGAAATATCTAGCATGTAACATCTCCCAGTTCTTGTCACCATGTGTCCCTAGTGGGACACCTCCGCCTAGTAGGTAGGGGGAGCACAGCCCCTGAGGTCTGGCATAGCTGTGAGCACTGTTTGTCTCAGTAGATCAGAGCTGGGGCCTCCAGTTGGCCACCTGGAGAACAAGGAAAGGTCGAAGCGATCACATGTAGCAGTGTGGGTTTGGGACCCCGTGTCTCCTCTCATTTCCCTTTGCTGGATTATGAGCTTGCAGCTGGGATGCACCAGGCTCTTCTCCTTCCATTGGTTTTCTCTGCCTGCCCTGGCCTGTCCTTTGGGCCGTCGGGGAGCACAGACTGCAGAGCTTTGGGCATCCAGGTATGGCCAGTGCTTGTACTGTACCCAGTTGGGCTGCAGGACTTAAAGTGCCATGAAGTGAGACCTGCTGTGTAGGAAGCCCACACAGTTACTGTCGTTAACTTTTGCTTTGTCAGATTAGGGTTAGGTTAGGTTTTGTGTCCAGCCCCACTGCTAGTCTGTTGCTCACTGGGTTGGTTCTGATGCAGACTGGGACTCTGTGCAGTGGGTTTGCCTTGTTTCATTGTCCCCATTAGTGACAAAACCAACCCACTGATTTAAAGTGGGAATGGGTTGATGGTTGAACTAGATGATCTTAGAGATCTTTTTCAACCTTAATGATTCTGTGATTCCATAACTCTAAGACCATGGTAAATTTGAATTAGGAATTGCTCTACTCTTAAAACTTCTAGTCCGATTTCCTTTGGCCTTGAGGTTTTGGTCCTGCTCTCTGGTCTCTCGAGGTAAGGGAAGAAAAAGAAGAGAGAAACAATGTGGCTGCATAAGGCAGCCTTCATCCTCTGAGCAGCACGTGCCTGCAGAAGGCCAAGTTACTTACAGCCTTGCTCCTAGGTGTTAGACTCTTGAAGGATATTGATGTGCCTTCAGGGAGGAACCAGCAGCAGTTGGTTGGACTGAGTTCTGTCTTCTTATCCCCTGGTAGTCCCCCAGAGAAGCACAGTAAGTGCAGCCTCTTGTAACAGTGGTGTTTCTGTGTACAGCTGTGTTATTGTGCCCTTCCATCCAGGCTCTTCAGAGTCTGCCTCAGCTCACTAATGGTACTTCATCAGCTGTAGTGGGGCCTGCCTGCTGACTTGTAATATTTCTGCCGATTTTTCAATTTTTTTTTTCTTTTCATGCTCTCCTTGACTCTTAAGTAAAGTCTTCAGTTTTCTCTTCAGACACATTCTGAGTGTGAACAGATGGGCACAAGCAGCAGCTCAGGTGGAACCAGTGCAGGCAAACCATGCTCCCCTGGGAGTTGCACCTGCTCTGTTGCAGGGAGAGGTGCCCTTCAGTTCGGGTGCACCTCTGAAGGACATTGCTTCTTTCCAGGTGTGATATTTTGATGAAACACTCTTTTTATTATTAGAAGATACAGCCCCTACCCCAGCTCATCTCTAAACCCGTAAAATCAAGCCATACTTACGTTGAGCTGTGAGAAGTTGGTTTTCTGAATATACAACTACAGTAGCAAATAACGGTCTAAAATCAAATTGAGGCACTCTTTCCATGGCATCTTTCCTGACATCCCTTACTGTTCAGAGGAGCTGCCCATCAATCTCTGCAGTCATTGCATAGTTTTCCCTTGAATTCATCCTCCTTGTGGAGCGTGATGCTGCAGGAACTGCCAGCAGCAGCTTGACAGTGGGTGGTTTGTGACCTGTGCTGCTCAGAGCCTTCATTTCTCTTTGCCCTTCTCTGGCATGTGTGTGCTGTGTGCAGTCACTGCCTCCTCATGCACTGCACCGTCAGATCCTCAGGACTGGAACCATCAATGCATGCACGTGGCATCTGGCAATGAGGACCCTGGTCTGCTGTGGTGCAAGTAGTTACTGTGAATAAATTTTGCTCTGTTACAGGAATTTTGTGATGGAGAAATAAGGAACAGTAAAGCATCGGTGTCTTTGTTTAGTATAATGAGTGCTGCCACAAGATCTATGAAGGGCCAATTACACACTTTGGCTGTAGGATCAGCCTCAAGTACAGAGCTTTTCAGACCAGGTGTCAGAGGCAGGAAGAGAAGGGCGGCGAGCAGGCAGGCATGGAGCTTCATTTACTGCCCTGTCTGTCCTAGCCTGCGTGTTCTGAGATGATTATCTTTTAATACGAAATATTATATTTAAATACACGAGAGCAATTATGTGTATAATAAACTGGGAAAGCCTGGCTTTGGATCTTGCTGATATTAGGAAAAATTTCTTCTCAGAAAGAGTGGTGAGGCAGTGGCACAGGCTGCACAGGGAAGTGGTGGAGTCACCACCCCTGGAGGTACTCAAGATACGTAGCTGTGGCACTGAGGGATGTGGTTAGTGGGCATGGTGGGGATGGGTGTTTGGTTGGACCAGTGATCTTAGAGGGCTTTTCTAACTTCAATGATTCTATGACAATAATTGCAAAGCCTGTCATTTTCATGTAGCAATTATGTTTTTGTTGCAGATTGATGTCCTCAAGGCAGATGTGGAGAGCGCGGAGTGGAAAATTTTGGAAAACCTGATCTTGGAGGATGTTGTTGAGCAAATAGGGCAGCTGGTCTTTGAGGTGCACATCCACTGGCCTGGTTTTGAGGTCAGCGGCAATGACAGCACTGTGGTGCGGTACTGGTACAGTCTGCTCCGAGAGCTGGAGCTGAAGGACTTCAGGCTTTTCCATACCTACAAAGACTTATCAAAACCACAGATGCTTCTGAAAAAGGAAGCCTTCAATGCCAGTAGCTGTTACACGCTGAGCTGGGTGAATACAAGATGGAAATAGCAGAAAGGAATCTATGACGTGTGACTGTGAGCCATCTGTCCCATAACATTATTGAAGAGGACCTGAGAGTCACTGGCTGAAGTTGCCAAATAAGCATACAGCGATTGCTGGTGGAATGGGCTGGCATTTGTTTTTAAACACTGTCAAAAGAGCTGAAAGTGGAACCTGGTCTTTTTGGCTTGTTTTTAGTTCAGGTGAAGTTCCACAGTGACTTGTCTAGCACTGCACCTGGCTGCCTCCTGGCTCCTTCCCACAGAGCTCCCTGGCCCTGCCTCTCTCCCTGCCAGGGGCACACGGATGCTTGTAGAGGTAGTGGTTCTGGTCTTGGGGACACGGGGACATGTCCTGCTCTGCATGTGGGCTCTGAGCACTGGCATGCAAGATTGATGCAGGGTGCTCCTAACAACCCGGCTCAGCCATTCCCTTAGAAGCTAAGCAATGAGAGGGAGCTAAAAAGTATGTAGCAGGTGGTTTATTGTTATTTTAATTAATAATTTTGACATTAAACTTTGCATTGAAATACAAGATCACACCTCTTTCATGTCTTTCTTGTTCTTTGCAGGGCTTGAAATGCCTGAATGAGTCAGGCCTTGAGCATCTGTGTTGGCCACAGGGGCTGCAGAGCTTGGGCTTCTTTGGAAGAGGCTTCAAAGCCCCCTGCCATGATGGTGAGGGCCTGGGTGGTGCAAGACTTGTGGGACTGGAGAGGGTTTGAATTTCTTCAGTGGAGGTCAGTTCTGTGTCCTCACACACTCAGATGTTTATCAGCCTTCCAAATCACATTGGAAATGTTAACTTGTGGTTAAATGTCAGATCCTTTCTGTTTTAAGAAATGCACGCTGGCTTTCAATCTGCTGCCTTTCAGCTCCGCTGACAGTGCCTTGTTGTGCTGTGTGAAGTGAGTTATTGCCTCTCTGGTCCCATTTTTATTTCCTTTTAAATACCAGCACATCCACTTTAGTGGCACTGGGATTTTCTGAACTGGAGTTTAATTCTGAGGGATCTCTTTGTGGGTTTGTGTGCACTGAACACCTCAGCCAGAGAAGGAGGAGGACACAGAGGACAGACTGGGCCTGCCGGTACCCCCAGCTGTGCCTGTGAGCTATGTGGAGCAGTGCAGGAGGTGTGCACGGGCTCTGGGTATGGCTGCCTGGTTATCACATGAATGAGTTCCTTGGCACTGTATTGGCTCAGGCCATCTGGGACCTTCCCATACCATTCCTAGGCACAGAGACAGCCCAAGTCAAGGACAGCTTGGATCCAGCCACCTTGTGTTGGAAGCTCCTAGGGCTAGGAACATAGAACCACGGGATGGCTGAGGTTGACAGGGCCTCTTGGTCCATCTGGTCCAAGACCTGCTCAAGCAGGGACACCCAGAGCAGGACATGTCTGGTACTGCTTTGTTTTCTGGTATCAGTGTGCTTGGTCCCTTTCCTGCAGTGACACAGAACAATCCGAGGGAAGAGCTGCTGGAATTGATGCCATGTTGCTGCTTGCTTGGATTTCCTGAGCCCAGCTGCTGGGCAAAGCACTCCAAGCAGGAGATGCCTTCTTAGTGGCAGCCACACTGCAAACCCTTGCGCTCCAAGTGTTGAGGCTGTGCAACAATGCAGGGCCTTAAGGAGAGCCCTGAAATGCATGAAGGTGTCACATCTCCTAAACCGAGCTACTGCTTGTTGGAACAATCAGACAGCTCATCAGGGAATGGCTGCACTTCCACTCTTCAAATAATATGATGGCAAAAGGCCCGGTGTGAGCCCTGCTTCGTTAATGAAGCATGAAAGCACAGGCTGGAGCGGTAGAGCACAGGCTTTTCCTCCTGGTAAGTGATGGAGTACTCAGACCGGTAGATTGTTACATAGTGATTAAAAACCAAATTATGTTCTCTTTTACGTGTTAAAATTCCAAAGGGTTGCAGACCTTTCATCATGTATTGCCCTGAAGAAGAAATGTAAATTCATTGTGTATGGAAATTGCAGGAAAGGTCTGGAGGTCTGTCTTGGGACCTGACGTCAGAATTCTGTGTATCCTCACCCAGCCTATGCTCTGGAGTGCTAAGTAGCATCAGGAGCAACTTAGGCGTTAGCAAATACATCTTCTGAAAGCAAAAATTCCAATAACTATGGCAATTAAAGAAACCTTATGTAAGATGCAGGATAGATAAAAGCAGTTTATCATTCCTGTGGCAGTTATGCGATATTATAGGGAAAGGGAACAGCTCTCATTTCATGCTCTGTGCCTTTCTAAGCAGAGTTAGCACAGCCATCCTTTCTGAGCTCTTGTGCTCCCACCCGTTGGCTTTTATTGGTCTCTTTGACCTAAAGGAGCAAAACTTGATGAATCCATCTCCTGTTTCTTTCTGTAAAAGGGATGTGGTTACTGCTGTGGGGCAAAGGCTGTGTGACTGCAGCTGTCATGCACTGCGGTCTGCGTTGGCCCTAGAGAGGAGCCCTGTGCATTCAGGAGCAGCTTTGGGGGAGCGGGGAGCGTTGCAGAGGTCATCAAATGGTTGGGAACACATCAGGAGGATGCGATGTACTGAGCTCTGCAGCACAGTCCTTAAAGTTGGAAAAGACCTCTAAGATCACCTAGTCCAGCCAACCAGCCCATCCCCACCATGCCCACTAACCACATCCCTCAGTATCACATCCACGTTTCTTGATGGCCTCCAGGGGTGGTGACTCCACCACTTCCCTGTGCAGCCTGTGCCACTGCCTCACCACTCTTTCTGAGAAAACATTGTTTCTCATATCCAACCTCATCAGGAGCACCTCTCAATTCTGAAAGATTGAAGAAAGCGTAAATGGGATGTGTCTGGCCTTTCTTGGCAGCAGCCAGCAAGGCATCACCTGGTCGCACACCTGAAGAAAATGCACTCATTCACCCTGGTGAATAATTCACAGCTGAGACCATCTGGTTAGTTCAGAGCCCAGGCTCTGGGAGCTCCATTAGCTGCTCTCTTGCCCTTGAAGGGATCCTCAGGGTTACTCAGTAAGAAGTCACTCCTGATTTCTTGCTGCTTGTTAATACAACGTGACATTTAATTGCAGTCAGTAGAAACCGACTGAGTTTCAGTGGTGGTGGTGGAAGGTCAGAGCTGACCCACATTCAGAGCCACGTCTACTCTTCTCTCTGCAGCAACCAAGGAGCATTCAGACTGTGAACTTCCTTACTCTTCGCATTGGATTTCCACCATACACATGTCTTTTGTAGCAGTTTGCTGAAGGTAAGCTCTATACTCGCAGCACAGCTATAGTGCAGGCTGGTTGTTCTGTTTGTTTTCTCTTAGCATTGCTTCATAAGAGTTTAAACTCCACCAAACCCCACTTATGCCACAGGGGAAGTGTTGAGGTGGTGAATTACAGCAATGGTGGCTGTGGGGTGATGGTGCTGGGGGGGGCTCTGCAGGTCCCATAGATGTGTCTGTGTGGCTGTCAGGAGGCCCAGCAGGGTTCATAGGGCTGAAATCACTCCCCAGGGGATTTGTGTTGTTTTCTTCCTTTCCAAACCAGAGGGCATGCAGCTCAGTGTTGACACCTCTCAGCCCAAGGACTGAGCCTGGCCCAAAGGACAAATTCAAACCATTTGCTGTAACACCTGATTTTAGCAGTCTCCCAGTGGTGCAAAGCACAGTGAGTTACACAGGGGCTTGCAATGCTTCCACGTTTAGAACATTTTAAATACGTTCTGTGGCGTAACCAGGTAACAAGCAGCTCTGAGGTTGGTCTGCCGGGGTACCTCATGTCCACACTTGGGTGAACACCATCTAAACTTATTTGTAAGAGCTTTCAGCTCTACAGGGAGCTTCTGCAAACAGAGCCTTTCCACAGGCAGTACTCTCCAAGTGCTGCAAGACAGCAGTGGTGCAGTTGGCTTTGTGGGTTTTTTAATTTGTTTTAGTTTAATCAGCTAGCCTTGCAGTAAACACCTATTTTACTGCAAAATATAACTTAAATTTTGAGTATATGTCAGTGAAGTCAGCCTGCAGGAGCAAGTCTTTCAGTAGTCCCCAGGGGCACAAACTCCCTGTCAGCTGATTTTTTTTTTTTTTTTTTTTTTGTAAATAGGCTCAATTGCTTAAAGTCTTGCAAGCAAAGCTTCCCACCCTGCCCTGTTTGCCTCTCTCACAGGCTGCTCCTTGTACAGAGCTTTTCTACCCAGGAGGAGGGAGGTTCTGTAACGACCAGCTGGTAGCAAAAAGGAAGGTACACAGTAGTACTGTGCTGTCAGGTTTGCAAGGCTTTATTGTTGAAATGAGCCTTTGAAGACCACACTTTTAAATGGTGTGTTGAACATCTGCTTTTTGCTAAAAACTGGCTTTTTCCAAGGCAATCTTAGAGTCTTCTGGATGCACGGTAATTCAGATGTTTGCTTCTTGCAGTGAGAGCAAAGAATGCGCAGCCCTGTCTTCCTGGGTTGTAAGCTTTGTGTGAGACAGATGCCACAACCATCTGCCTTGAGAGAGACTGCCTTCCCACCTACTGGCAAGCTGCACCAGGACACGTGGGACATTCCCCCCTCTCACATATGAAAAGAAGTCCATGAGGAAGGTGGCACAAGGCCAGAAGAACAATCAGGTTTCCAAGGCAGAACTCAGCAATGATGGCAATAGTTCACTTACTCACAAACCCCCGCTGCAACAGTAATTGGTATTAATAACAAGTGGCAAGACACTGCCACATCATTTCCTCGAGTTAGAGATGCATAACAGAGGGACACAAACCACAGTGCTGTCACTGCAGCCCTACATGCCAACTCACAGGTATTCACCCTCGGCAGTGCAACAGGCTCCAGCCCAGAAGGAGCCCCTTTGAGCTCACTTGGTATTAGGGAACGCTGCTTGGGGCCTTCCCTGCTCTGTCTGCCCACAGGCTGTCAACCCAGAGATGTGTCTGGACTCGTTCTGGCCAACATTTGTAGCAGACCAATTTCTGACCTAAGTGAAATTGAAAGTCAAAGAGAAGGACACAATTAGCCTGGCCAGGAGTCCCTTCCCAGGTGGCTGCAGGAAGGACAAGTTTGGACTCCCACCATGCAGACACCCCCCGCCTCTTCCAAGCACAGCAAATTGCTGACATTGCCAGCTCTGGAGTCTTTGGCAGGGAAGAAATTATCCTCACAAAAATTCTCCCTGCAGGCTTCAATGCAGATGTGAGGAATTCCACATCAGATTAACAGGGTGACCAACAGCGAGGGACAAAGGAGTTGATCTATCTGAAAGTTTCCAGTGGAATTTTGATCTGAGGCTTGTTGCAAACATTTAATCCTAACTCATCGACTCCAGAATTTATTGAGTCAGTGCTTCTTGGTTTTCTTCCCCAGAGACAACAGACAGTGCACCACTACATAACTTTATACACTTATTTATGCATACACAAGCACATGAATCAAGTACTGCTGGGTAGGTGATGAATGGAGCAATGCAATATGAGCTGCAGAGCCAAAACTTGTGTCTACTGTCATTTAAATGCTTTTAGGCATTTGGGAAAGATGTTTCTGATAGGGGAGTTAATATACAAAACTTTTTTGAAGCAATTTATCTGCTCTATTTCCTCTTTTCTTCTCCAGATCCTTATGCTTACATGCTGTTAATGTTTGGGCACACAGCTACACGTTAGGATGTGAGGGAAAGGCCTTAAGTTGCGTCAGGGGAGGTTTAGGCTGGATGTTAGGAAGAACTTAGCAAGAGTGGTGAGGCATTGGCACAGGCTGCACAGGGAGGTGGTGGAGTCACGTCCCTGGAGGTGTTCAAGACACGTGTAGGTGTGGCACTGAAGGACCTGGTTAGTGGGGTGGGTTGGGGTTGGACTAGGTGGTCTTAGAGGTCTTTTCCAACTGTAAGGACTCGTCATATCCATTTAGGAAATGTATTTGAAGGAAAAAGAAGTGCCATTCTAAGTTATTTTAGCCAATTTTCTCCTTAAGCAGCAGACACAGCACCTCAGAGCTCAACACCCAGCTCAGGAACACCATGGCAGCAGCTCACTCCTACTCACATTCTTACCAGTCCAGAAAGAACAGTCTCTTCTTTCCCTGTGATCCTCAGGATGCTCACTACCTCCTTTCTCTCTCTAAATTCTACCATTTCCATTTTCCTGCCCCAGCATTTACACAGGTGCGAGATTGGACAATATATACAATGGGTACCAGAGCTCCTCTTGTGAAAACGAGCTGTGATGTGTTTCTGGTACCCATGTTTACTGAGATGGGAAAGTAAATGGAAAACACATAAACTTGGTGCAGTTATATTGAAGGCATGAATGGAAAGTGGAAAGACTCTGAAACACAGCTTTAAGCATCTGGTCTAAAATGCATTATGTTCCAAGCTCATTCACTCATGAAGTTAGAGGCCTAACTTCAACAAGTACTCTTTGAAAGAACAGTCTTGTTAATCAATCCTTCCAGAACAGCAGATTTAAAATACAAGTAAAGTCTTAGAAAAAAAGTCCTTCCAGTTTGAGGTTCTTTGCATCTTAGCTAGTGAAATGCCTTATCTCCCACCCCACTGCTAATTATAGCCATTAATCCTTTGCTGTTGTTTAACTGATGAGCAGCTGTTGACTTATAGTAAGCAACGGAGCGTAATTCAAAACCAATTAAAACTGATCAATGGATAAATTTGTTACACGCTTTTATTTCTATTAGAGTCTCAAAAGAAGAGCAGACAGTGTTAAAAGGATGTTTTTTTTCCCCTTCCTTCCAACTTAAATTAGTTTTGTATGAACAGGGGAAGAAAATGAGCTTATCTGAATTCTATTAAAACTGAGAATTAAAATGGCAAACGATAAATATTTCACATGGACAGTGGTGGATGGAAGAAATGAAGACAAGCAGAAGTTTCTTTATAAAATGATTTATTAAAAATAAGTCTTTTAAAGAGGAGAAAGTGTGGCATGTATATACAGTACATTGTCACAAACTGTGGAGCTTATAATACAACCTACCCACTTTGTTGTTTTGTTCGTTTTTTATGTCATGCTTACTGGAACTTAACAGCAAACAGGAAGAGAAAAACACCTGGTACCCAACCCTCACAGGGAAACTGAGGGGTACTTGTAACGATGACGCCTGGTGATCAGCATGATGCAGCTGTTAAACACAGACAAACCAAGATTTTATGAATACAGGCTTCAGTTGACACAGTCTAATTGGGGGCTGTGCGCTTCTGATTACCTCTTCATTTCTACTGTGAATTGACAGACATCATTAGCAACTGATTTTGTGTTCTAGAAAGGTAGAAGTATTTTAGGGAGAATAAAATACCATCCAAAAAACATAAACAAATGCTCTACTTCCAGCTCTGTTGCAGTAGGTATCAAAGATTTCCTCTTAGGAAGAAGATTACACAATTGCTGGTTTTCTCCTTTAACTCCCCATATCTCTGACAGCCAGAGCCACAAAAATAGTTTTTTCTTAAATTTATTTTATTTTACAAGAGTATTTTGCACAGAAGGTGACAGGACAAACACTTGATGCTGCACACTTCACATTCTCCTAGCCAGATGTTGCGTTTAGAACAAGATCCTTTGAGTCGAGCATTCTGAACATTTCCCACTTTCAGAGCATATATACAGCCAGCTGCCAACAGCTATATCACAAAATGTCTGCCCGTCCTTACAGCAGAATTCACTCCAACTTCACATCTCAGGGCTTACAACTTCAGATCCTCGCAGCAGCCTCTTTAGTCCCACAGTTTAATGAGACCATCCCAGCCGCACGTAATGACTTTGGATGTTTCGTGAGGATGCCAGACTGCGCCGATGCAGACTTTATCATGTGCTTTTATTCTGCTGTAAAGCTTTGTGGTCTTCCAGTCCCAGATGTTAAGCTTTCCATCTGCATCTCCAGATATCACATAGCTGCATTAAAAGGATGGAAATACAAGTTGCATTAAGCGCAAGGACTGCTAGTATTCTAACAATTTATATTGAGGAATGGAACAGAGCTTCACCCAGTTAGCCTCCCACCTGGCAGCCTGCGAACTTTCCTGCCAGAGAACTGGCGTTCATGCTGTGCTCTGTGGCACACATAGTCCTGCAGAAGGTGATGCATCAGCTGTGAGGTAAACGTGCTAACTAGTGTGATTCTATCACTCAGTGTTACTGGGATTGAAGAGAATATGTTGGGAAAAGATAAAAGTGCCAGAAGTTCATCAGCAACTTACAGACACTCTCTCTGCTTTTTCCTCCGGTTTTGCTGAGGTTATTCTCCACTTTTTATAGCAGTGCATAGCTTATGTACATACAGTGGTAAATATATGGGCATGTTACCAAGGAAACAGGATGTAAAAGATGGATCTCTGAACAGCTAATGAGGACATACCACACCAGACCTGTGCACAGGAAAAACCAGGCAAGTCTGAATGCCAGGTATTCTAGACGGGTGCATATGGTGGGAACAAAGACTGAAGGGCTCTGGGGAGACTGCTACTGACTGTTTGCAAACATAGCCAGATGCAGGTCTGTGCTGCACCAGGACTGGGCAAAATAAGGGCGATCTCTGGATGCTTCAACACAGCAACATAGGTCTTCTTCAGGGAATGGAGAATCTGGACTATGCTGACTGCTTTTTAACTGTTGTTCGGAACAAGTGTTGAGTTCACTTAGTCCAGTCAAACAAGAAGAGCAAACTTATTCTGCTGCTTGTCTTAGAGAGCTCTGTCCTATTACTGAGTTAATAGGATGGCTGTGCATCAATGATGTTGAAAAGGATTCAAAAAGAAATCTGGTGTCCGTGCTCGTGAGTTTAAAGATGAAGCTCTTTCCCACAAAACTCACCTCATATCAGGTGAAAAATCCACTTGACAAGCGTAGCCAGCTACCATGTGACCTTTGAAGATTTTCTTTTTGTTTAATCTGAATCTGTTCTGAGCTCCAAAAATCAGAATTTGGTTATCCATTGACTGGCAAGCCAACCATTTCCCTAAAAATGCAATGAACAGAGGAGATGACAGAGTGCCACATACAAAGAAACAGTCTTGGCTGGAAAGTTTGAGACACACATAACTCTCTCTGCACTGTGCTAATTCAGATTTTCATTATAGAATCATAGAATCCTTACGAGTTGGAAGGGACCTTTGAATGCCACCTAGTCCAACTGCCTGCAACGAACAAGAACGTGCACATCCAGGTCAGGTTCCCAAGGGCCTGATCCAGCCTCACCTTCAAAGTCTCCAGGGATGGGGCTTCAACCACATCTCTGGGCAACCTGTTCCAGTGCCTCACCATCCTCACTGTAAAAGATTTTTTTTCCTTATGTCCAATCTAAATCTAATCTCTCTTATTGTGTAATAAAGTTTCTTGGTAGAAGCTGATATTACTTCACAGAATCACAGGGTCCGGAAGATGGCCAACCCAATTTCCACCTGTTACAACCGTTAGAAGGCAGAAAATTATGCTCAACAGGATTTGGGAAGCCTGTTCCTACAAAATGCACTCACAACTCCAAAAAAGCTCTGCCTGTTACATTAACCCCAGTAATGAACGGATCCATTTTTAAGCTACTAAGTTTTTATGGTGCACATATTATAAACTCTCAATCAAGTAATTCAGATTAAGGAAAAAAAATAGGTAATCTATTTGATAACCTTTTTTTGTGGGTACTTTAAGATGGTCACCTGGACTAAGGAGCTTCAGAATCCTTATGTTTTTGAGACTGTTTAATTCTCTGTGTCATAATGGAGTATGATTTAATCAAGACATTTGAGTTAAAATAAATAAGGCTTTTCTAATCTTCATTTCACTGTGTCTTGGCACTGCATTAATTCCTACCTAAGAATCCAGTGAAGGCAATGCACTACAGAACAGTTTACAACAGACTTCTGCCCTGAACTCTTTATACCATCACGGTCTTCAGTGTCTGATTTGAACAATGACAGAAAACGTGCTGAATAGTCCTTAAATCTGATCCAGCTTCTAGCTTGGAATTAGACAGTTTAGTTCAGCCTCCCAGAGAAATAAACAGCGCGCTTACCCCAGTCACATTATTCTTTCTTAGGTTTTTAAAAGGTCTGTTACTATCTTCTGCATCCTTCAGAAGGAAACTGAAAATTTCCTTCCATAAAATTTTCATTTTAACTGTCTTTCTCCAGAATCTTCCTTTTACTATTAAGGCTCTGCCTCGATTGTTAAGAATGAAATATTTACACTGCAAAGGAACTGTAATTTGATGCTGAGAGCTGGCTGAACGTGCTGGCTATACAAGCTGATCAGCCACTACTCAGCAAATGAGACTGTTAACGGTAAATTTATAACGCTTCAATAACGTTGGCAATAAAGCTATTTAATTTTAGCCAGCACACATAAAAGAGATTTCGTCCTATTAGAAGGATTTTTCACTTATTGCTGGAGGAATTCAACCTTTGCCCTTCTGCAGCTCGGTTGTTGCAGAAGAACATGAACACTAGGGAAACAGTAACATACAGAAACACTGAGATAATTTGGAATTTCTCTTGAGCAAATGCTGTTTGTGCTGTATTCAGAACAAAGAAACAGCATCAGCAGGATCACGTAAAACATCAGTCTTTGTGTTATCAGTGACACCACAAGGACTGCTGAACTTGCTCAGTACTTTGCAGCCCTTCTCAATGCCAACATTGTTTTTCCTAATATTTTAAATATTAGAAAGAACAAACTGAAGTTCTGTGAAAAGAAGGAGCCCTTTTACCCCGTTTGGAGGAAGGTCTAAATTTAAACTGATACAGCTATCCTGCAATAACCCCTCATTTTGACATGTTTGGTCTTCTCAAAACTTTTAAATCAAATTCAGATTCAGTCTAATCTTGGAATAAAGGCACAGAAGTCTTTGGGAAGGGGGTATGGGCAGCAGGGAGGTACAAGATGGCAAAATTACAGAGCTATCATTAGTGAGACATCTTATGTCAGCTCGGCCTGAGAAGGCAGCAAAGTTGTTAACCCACCATTTGGAGACAAAGTCACGGCTGGCATCGAATGCATACTTGGCTCAGCAATATACTTGAAGTCTACAGGAATGTCCCTGCAAAAGGAAGAAGTATGTGTTTAGGAAGACATGCAGACATTATTCCAAAGGGCTGTCTTGAGAGAGCTGATTTACTAAGCTGCTGAGAACATGGCAGTGCAGTCTAAAGAAGAATGTGGATAAGCTCAAAATTATGGGTGCTCGCTTAGAGAAATGCAGCTGATAGCATGAATTTACCCCAAATCAAATGACCCATAGTCTAAAGCAGAATCCTGACTCCAATTGGTAACAAACACAAAGACACTTGATTGCCTCCAGTTTCTTAAAAAAAACAAAACCAAAAACCATTAAAGAAAGCAGGAGTTTTATTCTATTCCCCCTGACAATGCCATTTTCCTCCTATTCTCCCCAAATGGGATGCTGACCAATTCTGAATGTTCATAGCTGAACTCAGCTGTGAACTCCCTGGCCTCAATTCCATTTCATTCTTTTAGAGGAGTACTCCAACAGCTTCAGATCAGGACACAAAGTCATCACTGTGGCGAGGTCTGATCCTTTGCAACCCCTAATAGCACACATTCCCTCAGCACACCAGTCATCTGCAACCCTCAGTTCTAGGTGAAAGCAATCCTCCCAGAGGCCACGTTAAAACAAACAAACTGTTGGCTGGCAAAAAGAAAGAAAAAGAAAAAAAAAACATCAAGAAAACCAACCCACTGTATATCATGAAATCTAAGGTGCCAAAGGTATCTTTATAAGGAGATACGGAGACCTGTTGGAGGGGTACAGAGTGACAGACATGACAAGCCTCCTAAGCTTGGCAATGTAAGAACTAAGTTACTGCTGTACTGCTCCTGCTTTGCCAGCTTAGTCAAAGGCATAAAGAAAGAAAATCTTCCAAGATCAGTTGCCCGAATCATTTCACTGTTTATCCAATTAGGACCAGAAGCATGAGAAGCCCACAAGAGAAAACAACGTTTTGCATTTCTAAAAGAAAACGCAGAATATAACACCCGTGCCAACTTTAATATCACTGCTGTAAAGATACAATCCCATCAAAAGCAAAGCAGGCAAATTTTATAGCACTCCAGTTAAGACTCCTGAACAAACGACCAGATCTTCACGTTTGTCCTTGTGAAACCTATGAGCACACTCTGAACTCTCGGGGAAAGGACATTTATATTCTCAGGGGTGAAGCTGCTCACTGTAATGAAGTCTGACATGACATCCCATTACCAGCTCTGGCCAAGTCAAAGTATTTACAAAACCCACTACAAAATTTCTCCAAACAATTGAAACCAAGTAATGAGACCAGCTTTAATTACTGGCTTTTAAGGCCATATTCAGGTCATAGTTACTTTGAAAGCTGCTTTGTTTCTGAAGGATACTGAAGAAATACTGTGCTGAAGTACATGAAGAAATACATTGTATGAAGTCACCCTAGATTTAGTAACAATTGTCCTTATGAACTTAAGAAAATAAAAAGATTTGAGGCGTGGTATGAAATAGTTTGATATGGAAAGCTGATGTGCTGAATATATTAACAGTTTTAATGCACTGCAAAAATCTGGATATTGAAATTATGTGCATATGCAGACTGGTTACCATATATCAACTGCAGGTTATGGCCAAATGTTTTTCAGGTCATGGCTAGAAAGACAACGTTTACTTTATATAAAATCAAAAAATTCCCCAAAGACTGTATGGCAGAACAGTGTGTACAGTTGAGTTCCCTAATATCTGAACAAGGGAACCCTTTTTCAGTGTACAGGATGCTCAGTATATATACATATATATATATATTTTTTTTTTTTTTTGCTTCGGAAGAAAAAAAAATCTGGTACTGTAACAATCAGGCTGTGATGTTCCCATACCAGAACCTTTCTGCCTTTCCTGCTTTTCCCCACAGAGTGACTAAATCCACCCACTTCACTATTTGTTTCAGCCATCAACACAGAGCTCACAGAAGAAGGGCAATCCAATCTCAAGGAAATAACAATCTTGTGCGAGTGACATCCTCCTCCTACTCACCAGAGAGGAGACATTCCTTAGCAGACATGATACTGTAAATACTTTGAGGAGCTCAGTAAATACATGGGTTTAATTACAAAAAACTGAACAGAGGCTCTCTGGGACTCACATCTGGAGACAGTGCTCCATGCCTGCAAGCCTAAGCCTGGGCTCCCAGACTTTGGTTGTTATCACTGCTGGTACTGGCAATGATAGCAACAGATCACAGACACACTGTGGGTTTTGGGTGACATTCAAATACCACAGACTGGAGCCTCTTGTCTAGGTGAAAAAATAAAACCCACAAAAAATGCTGGGAAGAAACTGATTAGTCACAGAGCTGTCAAACTCATGCCTGTGTTGTGCAACAGCTTTCATGAGTGAATGACAAAATGAAATGGATACTTAAAATATGGAATTAATAATTTCAAAAAGATTCCTGAAGTCCTAGAGAAATCTTCAAGTCCTAAGCAGGAGGTCTCAAGACCTAGAATCTTGTGGGAAAGGTTTCAAAAACAGAAGATATTTGTTTTCTCCCCAGCTACGTTAAAAATTGGAAGGCACTGAAAATGTTTAGTGTGAGTTTTCTTGGACAGGCTTTCATTTTCTGTCAACTATTCTACTCATACTGTATCAGCAATGGCCCAAAAAGCAGACTACCAGAAAAGCAGAAACAAAGCTACAACAAGATTGTTATCTTGTATGTTGGTAGAATATTAAATAATATTGTACATACCAAAGCTCAAAGCATTCAAAAGCTACAAACACCAACACAATATAGCAACCTTTTTAAGAAGAGGCTTATTTATGGGCTCCTGTACCCTTGGGGAAAGGAGAGATAATAAAGAACTGCTAATAGAGCACAGCATGCTTCAGGCTGACAGGCTGTCTTGTGCTTTCTTTGGAGGAAGAGAAATCTATGAAGTGCCTCAAGAATGAAGCCACAACAGCTTGGTTAGTACTCAGCAGTGTGATAGGAAACAACCAGCTTTAAAGATTAGAATAATTTCTCTAGAGATTTGAGAAATATACAACATTAAAAAATATTATTAATCATTAATACTACTAATAAATACAGCCTGCTGCCCATATACGATTTTCATCAATAAAAGGAGGCTTTCCTAAATAGATATATTCACTTTGCTGACTTTCAAAATAGTTTTCAAATACCGCAGTGCTGTAGGTCAGTAACGCAGGGGAATAATTCACTGTCAGACACTAAGACTGATTTCCAAGACACTGGAAGTAGACTGTAGAATGGATGCCTCAGCTTACAGCAGAACAGTATTTAAAAACAAGGGCCCATACTAGACTGAGTGACTGTAGAGGATATGCCCAACTTCATCAGTTATCAGAAATTAGCAACAGGGGTATCTGAGATTGTTCTGGTTCTATGCTCTTGTGAAAGATTAGCTACTACATAATTACATACACACTTGCAGAAATTTGAATTCAGCTCTTCCTCAGCTAGCTATAAACTTGGTATGCTTCAGCATCCTATCTGCTACATACACTTTTAATACACTGCCTTCTCAGTTTGTTCATAACATACTCTAGGCTAAAGTTTAGTATTTTTAACTTACCATTCCCAGACTCTTAAACTTTTGTCATCGGATGTACTCACAAATCTTCTATTTTCATCCACAAACACAATGGTGTTGACAGCTCCCAAATGTCTATCATATTCCTGCACAATCTCACCACTCCGAATATCCCACTACAATTAAAGAAGTCCAAGTAAGATGCTGGATTTTACTAAATATATATATATATTTATATATTTTTTTTTATGATTTCAAGCTTTAAAATAATATCAGGCAAGAAAGCAAATCCTCTAGTAACAGTCTTTGAAGGTAGGAGGAAAAAGTAGGAGGGAAAAGAAACATGCTCAACTGGTTCAGAAATTCTAATTGAATAAGAAAATTCAAGTAAAACTAACAATCTTTTGAGCTGTAGGTGGAGTGTTTACAAAGAGAAACCAGGGGAAAATAAGACATAAAGTAGACATACTTGCACAATTTTCTTATCTGACATTCCTGCAACAAAGAGATTTTGTTTATCTTCATCAGGATTGAACTTGACACAATAAGGAACCTTCCTGTTTGTGAATCTTGAAATACACTGTCCTGAAACAGACAAAACCATTCATATTGGGTCAAGCCAGAAGTTGTAAGGGCTGATTAGTTCATTACATACATTGATAGAGACATTCATTTTACTTCTATCTCACTAACAGCAGAAAATACCCTTTTTAAGCCCCTGAGAGAATGAGAGCGTAGAATTGATCCTACATATTGGCACATTTGTAAGCATGTAGCTGTATGAAGACATACAAACACATTCATCCATACAATTACTACAGCTCTCCAAACAATGCAAGTCTGTAAGCTCTGTAGCTTACATATTATCAGAACGTAGTCAAGGACATCAGAACTAGTCAAGACGTGGCAAGCTGACCAGAGCCTTTGCAAAACATCACCTGATTAGGATCAGAATTCTTCCTGACAAGAGACTTGGAACTCAGGCAAGAATTTCCTATTCCTAACTGTAAAACAGGGTAACAGTAATCTAACCACCAAACAAGCCACTGATCTCCTCTCACGGTCTGAGCCACAAATGGGTTATCTGTAACTTCCAGGAGACTATTATATTTCAAGAGCTCAACAGTGTCCAAAAAACCTCAGTTCTGACTCAGGCCTGGACAATCTGACTTCTACTTTCTGACTGACACCTGAATGAGACTACTGCTACTGCTAATCAAGCAAGCTAATTATGGAAACCTCTTTGTGACACCCTTGGTTTCAAAGAATACCTACAAATTTTACCCTGTATCTTTTTAACTAAAGAAACCACTTGGAGCAGAATGTTATTGAACTTTCCCAGCCAGTTCCATGAAAGTGTCAGACCTGTCCTCCACTTCCTATGGAAGCAGCAGCTCCATTTCCATCATCTTTTCCTACTCAGAATGCTTTTCAAGATGAGAGCATTCTCATCAGCATTCAGCAAGCTGAAAGATCAAGTGAAATAATTCTTCCAGATTAAATTTTGGTCTAAAGTGTGATTTCATTGCTTTTTTTTTTTTTTTTAATGTCTCTAGATGTAAACATACAGTTAAGTGATTTGTTAATTTTTAAAACTAAAAATTGTACTGTCATGACTGACACTTAAAGGACTTCTCAAATAAATAAGCACATTAAAAGTATTCTCAATTGCATTATTATAGGTAACAGAACATTTAGAATAAAAAGACCATTTGTCCTGTTAATAAAAGCCTGAACACTGAACTATGAAAAGATGTTAAGGACAATTAGAAACAATCTGACTGATGATATGCTTTGTTATCTACTCATAGCTAACCACAGTGTGCACAGCTACAGGCCCAACCTGTTTCAGTGTCCCACAGTTTAATGTAGCGGTCGTATGCAGCGCTAAGAAATCGAGTGCCAGCGTTGTTAAAACAGATGTCTCGAACGGCTTTCCCATGTCCTACAACACAGAAAAGATGCAAGAAACCTGTAATTTGTGCTTAGAATTACGGGCGTTTTTGGAGAATGTTTTTCCACTTAGCCGCTATAATCTTCGGTAAGGCAAAGAGAACAAGGAAATTGCTTACTGAAATCCTTCCTGAGTACCACTAAACCTGATTTCAGCACAGTGGTTCCAATGACAAAGAACTCCTGATTCAAGTACCTCGTAAAGACTGATGAGAATTATAACAAACAAACAAAAACAAACCACAAACACAGAAGCTCTGGAGAGAGAGAAACAACAGCATTGCACAGAAACAATGTGCAAATCAATGCTGACATTGAAGGGAAAAAACAGGAGAGACAAACAACTACTACCTGGGATGCATTTGAAGGAGAAACATTTAAAAGGAAAACCAAAATAATTAAAAATCATTGCAAGTATGAGGTCTTCTGATGTTTATCATGCTATCCTTCACCCCAATACATTCAGCTGATCATTGTAGCTCTCTTCAGTTAAAACACCGGCACAGAAACTATATACAAAAACATATGTAAAATATATATAAAACATATGCATAAGTAATAAGTAAATATGTATACACATATTGTATATTACATAAATATGTATATATTTATAAAAATGCAAGAAGCTTCTGATACATATATAGAAGTAGCAAGTAAACCTGGTTAATGTCAAGGATCTTCTGAGAAGAATGGTCAAACTTTGGATTGAGCAGACCATTTAGAGAACCTTTCCTGAGCATTTCTTTGCTACCCAGCTGTCATCAGAAATATCAGATAAAAAGACTTCTTTGTTGTTGTTACTTAACATATATTCACTCAATGTGCGTTCTACAAATGCTCCCATCTCAAAAGAAGAATCAGCTACTTTTGTTCTGCATTAAAGACTGCTGTGAAGTTCTTATATTTCTCTCTCAATCATCTGCTTTAAAAAAACAAACCTGTTACATAAACAAAACTGCACCAGAACCTAACAAAATAAGAAAAAATTCCCATGTTTGCACTTGAAACTCAGCACACAGAAGACCACCTGGCTAAAGAGGGATTAACAGACCACGAGATGCCCTCTCTACAGAGGGCTGCTGCTCTCAATATGAAGCAATTCAGTTTCACAATTTTGCCTTTGGAATGAAGTTTTGCATGAAGTATTGATGAGTACAGTACACTAATGTCTTGTTTTAAAGGGTTTAAAGAGTTATATGTTGACATTATATTTCCTGGAATAAAGCCAAAGGTTCACTAAAAAGTTGCACCTTTTTCAATTCTCATTGCCAACATTATACTGAATGCCATTTGGCTATTTACAAATCCTCTTCAAGATAAAGCAATAAGCTAACCTAAAACATGTCCTTTCACACAGCTGTTTTATGTGTATATTAAGAGCTAAGTTAAAAAAAAGAAAAGTACGATTACCAATAAACGTCCGTAGACATCTTCTATCACCATATACTTCCCAAAGCTTGGAAGAAAAAAAAAAACAAAAAGGATGAGGGAAGAAAATATGTCAACAGTTAAAAATACCTGATGCTGAAATTCAGTGCAAATATTATGACGCCAGCTTTTAAGAAATTAATTACAAATTTAAGATATCAACTGATTAATCCCATGTATCTATCCAGTCATTTATACGAATGCCATCTTTTTAGCAAAAAAACCCCAACCAGACTGTTGAATAATAAAAAAACCCCACAGTACAATAAAAGAAGAAGATCTAATGTAAGTTTTTAAATGTCTACAGTTTTGCTATTAAAAAAAAAATATTAATCAATTAAGTAGTTTTCTGATATGACATTGATAGACTAAAATGGGATTAATTCAAAGCCACAAATACTTCCAGTAAAGCACTTGATGAAAAGCCTACTGCTAGCTGCAAAACTAAGCTTCATAGAAAATTCTGACAATAGCAAAGACAGTAACCTGAGCAACTCAAGCCCTTCTAAATTCTATTACTAAATGATTAACACTGTTCTAACACCCACACCATCTTGTGTATTATTCTATCTTTGTTCCCAAGAACTTGTAATTTAAAACTCAAGTGAGAAAATAAAAGTAACAGTGACTTGGTAGAATTACCAAGCATTTACATAATCTGAATGCAGGGTCTGTGTTCAATGCTGGAATAAAATACATAAATGGAAGTAGAAAGATAACTCACCTTAATTTTGCAATCCATAGAGCAAGACAGCAGCATATGCCCAGACAGAGGAAACAACCTAACTGCACTGACTCCCTGTAAATAAGGACAATTAAACAGTAAGTGGAGCATCTATGCACTCTCAGTTCACCAGCCCTCTTTCTATAAGCAAAAAGCTATACTGCAACTTCATAAAATATACAGATACTGTATATCTAAAAGAAATATCCTACCATTCCAGTTTAAAAACAGAGGCATTTTTAACAAGTGTTACTGGCAACAAATTGATTCACTTCAATATCTGTATATACATACGCCCTAGAGCTTCTCCACAGTCCCTTTTCAACACCCACACCATTACTGTGGTAATCACATCAAATAAATTGTGGGTTAAGGTGACTGCTTTAAACAGACACTGCTCTAATAGAATCCTTTCCTGCTCTCTTTGCCATATACTGTTTTCTGAACAAGTCCTGTTTTGTTTGTTTTAAATACAACATGGCAGCAGTTCCATCATGGCAGCAGTGCCACTGGTGTATTAAAGTAGTCCCTGAAGCCACTTCCAACCCAGGCATCCCCAGAAGCATTCACAGGTTCTGAAGCTGCAAATGCTGTCGTGTCTCTGTATCTCTACTCAGATGGCCTGCAGTATTCCCACAAGAAGTATGAGTGCTACTTCTCTGGTAAAACAATACAAAAAAATACCAGCCAACCTGCTCTGCCTGGGCTGGCTAGTACATGCGCTTTAAGTTGACAGGAGGCCTATGCAGGTTGAAAGCCCTGTTTTTCTGGTGTTCCTGTTTCACTTTTCCAACTAGCAAACAGCCTTTTCAGGTGGGACATGCAGAAGTATTGCACCATAAAAATTTCTAGCCAGCTCCACTTATTACATATATTGGCTTGTAGCCACTGAGCACCAGATTCCCTGGGCACAGTGTCCCCCCATCTGTCTGTATTTCAGGTCATCTTTACAAAAGACATCTAGAGAACTGCCAGGTACTCATAGTTTTACATCTTTCTATAATATGTCAATTTCTCTGTTCTTATTCCACCTAGTTCCTCCCACTCTGGTTGGAGTTGCAGTCTATATCCCTCCTTATCACTGTTTTCTTATATTCCCCAGTTCTTCTATCTTTCTCAGTCCTCCTTCCTTTTGCTTCTCTCATCCATTCTGTAATTTGTCTTGGTTGTTTGAAGGAAAAAAGCACAAAGCCTTTTTTATGCATCAGTCTGTTCTGATAGGATAATAGGCAAAGAAGTGACTTAGAGCTTTGGGAAGGAGATGTTATTCTGGAAAACACCAACACTTGTAACTGCAACTTCTTTGATGCAGCAGTTACTAAAGAAAAATACAGAGCTGGGACTCAACAAAACAAGGCAAAAGCCTTGTCTCCTTTCTTCCATCTTTTGGGTATCATTAAGCTGCTACCCACTGCAGCACAGTGACATAATACTGAAAATCAGAGATGGAAGAAGCAGCAAATTGAATATAAGCTTTATGAATCTGATCAGTGAAACAAGTTTTAATGTTAAAAATGCATGTTTAGTTACACTGTCTGACACAAGAAGAAACTATGAAGTAACATAAGGGAAAACTGAAAGCAAGTTAATAACTGTATTTGGGAATCCTGTAATGCTTATGTATTGTAATCACAAAACCTATTCAACTTTTCATAGGTTTGATGTGAAACAGCATTTCAGTACTTTTAGTGCAGAAATGCATTTTCAGTTATCTCTAGAATTAGTCTTGCTCTTATTCACATGGCAATTTAGTAAATAACTCAAAATCCCACACAGGTGAGTGAAGAATATTTGTCCCATCAAAAGATGTTGGGAAGTCACTATGTTAATGAAAAAATTTATACAGATATCATGAACAATCATATCTGACCATGTGAACACCTCGTGTGGGTGTACAATGCTGCCAACTGTGTGCACAATGTCATAAATGAGAAAAAGCATTCATTTCTTACATTGATGCTTCAGTTTTATAGAATTTCAGATACAAAACAAAGTGCATTTTTATGAGGTACGCTCTGAAACTTCCTACCTTTGTATGTCCAGACCATACATGGATTTGTTTCTTTGGAAGATAGCATTTCTCAGGTGGCATTGTAGAACGGAGATTAACACCAACATCTTGAGGAACATGAAGGTAAGATCTCCCCTGATAGTCATACATTTCCTTAACTAAAAAGGGAAGTGGAGAATACTGAGAATCTGAGAGATTGTATTTTAAGAGGAAGATTCAACTGGCACACATTTAAGGTTTTTCCTCGACACAGCAGTCTTGCCCTGAAGCAGGGTGGGAAGAGGGATGAGAAGAAAACAAATCCACTTCATAGGTTATGGATTCTTACTTGACATCAGTTGTGCTGAAATTAAACCATTTCAGCAAATCTGCTTGGAATCTGATAATTTCAATGAACAAAATGATCTCCCCCTTACCCACCTTACCTCAAGGTTCGTGAGGACAAGAGTTTGCTCATACTAACTGTACACAGATTATAACCTGCTCTCAAACTCTGGCATTTACTTGCAATTTACATTCCACCCAGCTCCGTTCTTCAACAGTCATTTCAAGAATTGCAAACCAGAGGAAAGAAGATCCATCCCCAATGTCAACCAACTGAGCAACCGATGGCAGTCAGCAGCTAACAGCTGCTCTTTAACCACATTTCACAGAAGTGGCTGGACGCTCACACATGCAGGGTGCATTGTCCTATAAATTGATATTCCAAAATAGACTTCTCTGCTGAGTAGCGATGACATTAAGCTGTGCACTGATGTAATTAATTTCTGTTTCTTGGATATTGATATGACAGTTTTGCTTGTACAGATGACCTTCTGCTCAGCATTAATGGTGAGCAGAAGGCTTACCAGAATAAAGGTGTCTACAAAACAGTGCTTTTTTCTGGAAGGCTTCAGTTTGAGAAGATTAAAATTTATCTTGCAAGGACTCTGATTGTGAAACTTTAGGAAATGGTATACAAAGACAGGTGCTAACTACCTGTCCCTGTCACACAGGGCTGTTTTGCACAAAGAAACATGAAACAACAGTTCCCAAAAATCACCTGATCTTACTTACTTACCATTTTCTTACAATTTTCATTGAAGGTATGCTATAGGCCTTAACAGGGTAATCATTTGATAAATAATTATTCATAGCAAGAATGTTCACATTAAGAACTGAGGAAGTCCAGGGTCCAAGTGATTTTCTAAATTGTATGTTTGTAATTCAAAGCACTATTTGCTGATTAAAGTACCAAAACTGTAGTCATTCTGAAGCTCAGACTAAACCTACCACACAATCTCATGGTTGCTTTTTTTTTTGCTCTGTAAATGAGGAAGATATGCATACCTAGTAACATTAAAAATAAATAAATAAAACCTGAAAGATGACATTTCCACACTGCTCTTCACAGTACACTGTGGAATTGGTCCAAGCTTATCTCTTTCCCTGCCCTTTATGCTTATGCCTGTGAATGCTATTATCTCCAAAACAGAAACATCAAGGTGCCTCAGCAGTTTTGCTGAGGCTGTCTGCCATCCTTACTAATTAACACAGCAGGCAAGAAAACACAGTGAGCAGGAAAATAAGAACTGGCAGGAAGATGCCATTACCATGTAATATAGTCTTCTCCTCTCCAGGTTTATCATCTTCTAGTTTTCCTCTCTTCTGCCTCTTAGCTGTTATTTCATCCAACTCCTTCTGTTCTTCCTGGAAAAATAAAACATGATCTTGACTTTTAAAAAAGTAAATGTTCAGAATGAGATAACAAAATCCAAAATTGCATCACTGTTTATTTGGTTTTATGAATACAATTAATTGTTAAGTGAGATCAGAAATATTTCTGAGCATCAACAGAATACCTTTATCAAAAACAGATTAGCTTGAAAAGCTAAGTACAACTGAAAATAATTAAATATAATCTTTTTATTTATAGACTATGGCTAAGCATCACTGACTCAGTGTGAAGGACATACATTGGTTGGGTTGTTGCTTTTAAAACAAAAAACAAAAAAAACACCCTTCCCTTTTTCTTAAAATAAACAAGTACAAATTTACGTTCAGTCCTTTCCAAGATGCTCCTGTTTATAAGGATCTTTTGCCAGACTCTACATGTGACACATAGATACAATTCATTTTATTTCCAGTCTTTCAAGTAATTGAATGCACAATATTCAGAACACCCTATTCAAACTCAGAACCAGAAATGTTTCTATCACCCTAAAGCACACCTTCTGGTTGAGGCACACTGGATCTCTGTTAAAACCACCACATAATATACTATTGCACCACAATGCATTAGCAGTTTGTGTTTACAGTGTTAAAGTAGTACTTACTTCTGAAGGCTTGGCTACTTCTTTTTCATCAACATACTTTGCCCACGGTCCCAGGAAACCATCAATGTTAGATGCATCATTCTCCTTGAATTTCTTCCTTTTTTCAATTTTCTTTTGTCCTGTTTCAAACACTGTTAGACCTACAGAAAGAAACAATACACTGCTTAGCTGCTCACATAGATAACACACCTCAAAATCACAGGTCTCATCACATCAATCTAAAACAAATAATAACAAAAGAAATCCAACAACACCATCACCATCACTCCATCCAACACATACACAGGAAAATGGAGAACACGCTTAGGGGCCAAGCACTGCTGACTTATTAGATTATGAACACTGCTAGCCATGTACAGTAACAGAAGAGCCACTTAAACTAGTATTTAATCAAACATGTGCCCATGCATTTGTAGCACTAAGTCTGCAAACTGCATGAATGTATTGATTTTCATATTTTAAACAGTGTAGACTTTGAAAAATTAGAGCCTGAACAACTGGCTTCTGACTCCCTCCACCTCTCTCAGTTTCAAACAAAATCCATAAGGACACGAATAAAAAAACAAACAAACAAACACAAAGATCTCCCTAAATCCCAAATACAACTGTGCATTTTAATTCAGTTAAAATTCAGTTATCTATTTCTGAACACTATCCTATTCTTTCATATAAATATTAGCTTATCACAAATTCTCTCAGAACTTCATCCATCAAAACCAGTGCGCAGTTTTCATATAATGCTTTCCTACAGCATCAGTAATACTCCTTTAGGGCAAGGGAGACAAAAAAGATTTTTTATAAACAAAGGAAAATAGGCAACATAGAAGTTAAAGACAATGGTCATATGAGAGACTGTTATATTGCAGTCAGGAATTTTCTTAAAATAAATGACAAAAACTGCAGTATCAGAAGAATATATTTTCCTTTAAGTGATTTAGCCTTAGCCATTTCTATCTAATATAATTGCTGGATCAAAATAAGTCTATTTTCGATTGCTTGGGAGGAATGAGTGAGGCAACCTTCTACATATTCCATGGACTAGAACAGAGAAATAAAGAATCTTTATATAGGCATGCAAATAAAAAGTTAAAAAAAAATTAATCATGAAGTCACTTTTATTGTTAAATGTCTTGCATCAATGTATTAATTACAAGCACCATGCCTCTGGTAGTCAGTTCTCTCAGTGGAATGCTACGCCTTTACCACTTGGCAACTTTCCAGTGGTTTCTCTTTTCCAAACAGTTTAACTCCTCTTAGCAGAGATAACTTGCAATCCCCAACAGAAGTGCTAAAGGTGGCTCACAGAACCCTCAGTTTGCTACCGAGTAGCATAATTTAAGTGGTTAGTTAGCATACCATACCAACATCCTAATGCAGACACCACAACCTGGGTCAAGGCAGAATTGAAGAGGACCAAAAAGCTCTGTTCCATATATACAGATCAATCCCATTCGTTCAAAGACACCTGAGAGATTCTAAAGATAGCCTGATAAATTTGCTACTTCAGGAAAACAAATTCCCCCTGTACCTCTGATGTGCAACACATCATCATTGGTAAGTCTTTCATAATTCCCTCCTCTGCCAATACCTACTCCATTTCTTAGTAAAGAAATGATGGAAATAGCCATCAATTTATATAAGATTCTGAAATACTTACCTTGATTTTTTTCAGCTTCTTCTACAGAGCCAATATACTTGGTAGCAACTTCAGGGTTGTCTATAGAGGGGTCTAATGCATAACCTGGAATAAGATAACAAAATAAATGTTATTTTGGACCTTTGACTTTCGCACAACTTTTGTACGCCTTCCTACTAAGTCCATAAAATTATTTCCAGCTGGCACTGAGGGAGCTCAGAATGAAGAAGGATAAATATCTTAAAATTTCATTCACTATTCACTTGACCTCAGTACTGTAGTTAGTACAATATATTACCACAGACTGGCTTGTGCTGGAAGGGACCTTTAAAGATTATCCAGTCTAAATCCCTTGCCATGAGGACTCTGTGCATGCATTGCAACCAGAATGCTTAATTCTGCACAACAGAGAATACATGCAATAAGCAAACAGTCCACATCAAAAGAGTGAGGCCTCAGAATCTTTCTGGCCTCCCAAGAGGCCTCTAGCCCAGCACCCCACTCCAAGCAAGGTCAACACTGAACTCAGATCAGTCTACTACAATACAAAACATTACTTTCTTGTCACAGCAGCCCACTTTTGTTTTCTGGTGTAAAGGAAAGACTTAACTCTAAATTTACTGTCAGCAATACATGATTTTAATTGGGTGCTGCTTTAGTTCAGGGCAAAAGCAGTAAGTTGCACTGAAATCAGCCAAAAGGAAGAGGTCAGGGATACAAAAGAAGAATGGAAGCAAGTGAAGTTTTCTAGGGCTTGATGCATATTCTGTGTGCCTCCTCACAGAAGGGATTTCATCCTCATATCAAGGCTGGAAAAACTTGTTCCTTCCACATGAAAGCAGTTGCTTTAACTAACATGGAACGTACCAGAAGCAGCAGCAATAGCCTTTAATTGTTAAAAGAATTAAGTATTCACATCATCATTTCCTGATTACTGCTATTGAGTCGTGTTAAAAAGCAAAAAAAAAAAACAAACAAACAAACAAACCACAACCTGCTGCATTTACTCTTATAAATAATTTATAAAATGTATTAGCATTTTTGTAGATATTCAGGATAATTCACATTTTTTCATTCTGAGATTCTCATTTTAATATGCATCTCTTACACTTTCTCTCCATTTCTCCTGAAGCAGATAGGCATGAGCTTCTGTGAAATACAAATAACCTCATGTGGTTTCCAAGGTAGAGGGGTACTGAAGGTTTACTGACCACTGTGGCTTTTTTTTCTTTTTTTCTTTTGTTTAAGACTGCACCCTGGTGGACACAGCACCATTTTTTATTAAACATTACTCAAATGACAAACTGCCTCTTGAGAGCCCAAAGAGAATTCCACCGTCTCGGAAAGAAAAAAATTAAATAAAAAGGAAAGAGAAGCAATGAAAGAGAAGTAAATTTTACCACTGGTAGAAGTAACCACACACAAATCCACAGAAATCTTATGGCATACAAATTAATTCTTACATTTCTGTCGATTCATAGAAACAATTATGAAAATCATAAGCAGTGGAAGATTAACCTTTGACTCCCAAAGACCAATAGCTTATAAAAGCACTTGAATGCAAACATATTGAGAACCTATCAACACCAGCCTAATAGCCAAAGGAGACCATCCCCAGCCACTTCTCAGACACATTGCTGTCCTAGAAGATTTTTACTTACTTGGATAACCAAACTGAGCAGACACTGTAATCAGACTAATTTAACTACCTGCTTTTATTAAGGCAGTATATCAGTGAGCTCTCTTCCTAGCTTATAGCTTGGTTTCTATTAACAGCAGAGAGATATTACTTTGGATTTATGTCAAAATCAATACAGTGGTTTTCTTGTCCTCCAACTGTATTGACAGACTCTGGGACTCTATTTGCTCAGTACTTGTAAAAGAGGGACAGTATTCTAATGAATAAGGGACCCTGGGCCAAGCACAGCTTCCCGTGGAAGCGGAGACTTCTTATAGCTGGATTGAATTTGGTCCAGCATCACTGTCATAGAAAAGCTCTGAACAATTTCTACTTTCTAGTGGGTTATGTGAAAGAGAATCTTTTCTTTCTGGCTGAGACTCCTAAACACAGCTGCAAAAGACAGCTTGCTTTTATCCTACTCAGCTGGTATACATAACGTGCCTTCACTCCTACATCTCCTCTAGTTTCATTTAGAAGGGAGATATTTCATGCTACACTTTAGCACAGAAAGGTACAATTCCACCTACATCCATTACTTCAATGCATCTGAAAATGGTTGGTTAAATAAGCAGGCTTCAATGTGCATTCCATAATGACAGTAAATTCAAGTAAGTTTACGTTGTATTGTGCCGTGCAGGACAGAGGAAGTCGAGGTAGCTCACATAATGTGTGAAACAACAGAGCTGGTCTGAATCTGACTGAACCGGCCTGAGAATAAAGCAACCTGGGAATAAAATGTCAACAATTGTAAAAGCTAACAGTGACTGCAGGCACTGCATGTGAGCATACAAAAAACAACCACAAGTGTAATTTTCAAGTCATTTTAAGCTTCACAGTATCAATCTCACTGATACACTAATCCCTTTTAACAGTTACAGAATACTCATAAAGAGCTTTGAAACTCACGGACAGAAGACTGCTTATTATTTAATAAGACATTAATATCTTGTGAAAGAGAGGCTTTAGAATACTAAATGCTGCATGAATGAAGTAGTTCAGTTCCAGCGTAACTACAGGGGGCTGAAGAATAGAACTTAGAATATATACAGAATAGAATATAGAATAACTATAGAGGCTGAAATAGGTATGAAATTATTATTTTTAACCATATTAAGAACAGAATTGTTCAGTTCAAACTGATCTACAAAGATCATTGAGTACAACTGCCTGACCACTTCAGGACAAATCAAAACCTGCAGCATGTTACTGAGGGCATTGTCCTAAAGTCTCTTGAGCACTGACGGGCATTGGGGCATCACCTATCAGGGCAGCCTGTTCCAATGTTTGATCATCCTCCTGGCAAAGAAATGTATCCCAATGCCCATCTGACCCTCCCCTGCTGCAGCTTTGTGCCATTCCCATCCCGCCACTGGTACCAGGGAGCAGAGCCAGATACCTCTCTCTGTTTCCCCTCCTCAGTGAGCGGGAGGGAGCAGTGAGGTTCCCTCTCAGCCTCCTTTCCTCCTGGCTGGATACCACAACGTACACAGTCCCTTCTCACAAGGTATGCCCATCAGGCATGTTCACACTAATGAACAGTTTGTGTGCCACAGGTAAAAAAAATTTGTAACAACTTTTACACTGAAAGCACACGTATAAACTGCAACATGAATGAGAATGGGCCTGGAGGAAAGCCTAGCAGAGATTGGCAAAATGTGCTTGTGATCTAAAAAGGGATGAAGAGAGGAAAACAGAATGGATGAACACAGAGGTAGTTTCGATATGTGAAACATTAGAAGTAACAACCACCCATGGCTTGACAGAACTACTGATAGAAACGGAAGATGGAGTTAAAGTGTGCAGCACAGAAGGCTCAAGGTGGTATCAGTAAAACCTCTACTGTTATACTCATGAAAAAAACCCTGCAAATTTGTAGATTTTAAAAACATGGGAAAAAAAAAAGTGCGGAAATATGGCAGACAAGTGCATCATGAAAGATCTCAAAGCAATTTTGACTCAGATCAAAAGATCTGACTAGATCTCTGGTTTCAAGGTGTTTTCTGTAGATACCTGACCTGCACATCCCCTGACAACTTTCAGGGAGTCTGAAAGATAGGAGAAGCAAGCTTGCATTACAAATAACCTCCTCAGTTCAGGGGTAAAATGACAGCTTGCAGATCCATTGTGAAGAAAAAATAGAGAACCAAACCAAGTCTAAGACTTGACGTTTGCTATGGCATGTTATATGGCTGAACTACAGCATTCTGTCTTAAAAAGACAGGCATCTGACTGCTAAATGCTGGTACCATAGAGACATTCTTGATAAAGAAGCTGAAGTCAGCTTGATCTGTCAGAGATCTGAGAAGTGCATTCAGTATGCTCTCCTGTTTTCCATGGGCTGCAGAGCAGTGACTTGATTATGGTTATAGAATTTTTGAATTTGTATCAAACACGTGAAGGAAAGGCAGATAATTCCCAACAGGTTGCTCACTGCAAACAGAAACTGCAATCTTTAAACCCAATCTGGAAAATATTTCCAGTGCTTGTGCCAATTATACATTCCCAAGTTTCTGGAATGAAGTGAACCTTAGTAAGATGAGTAGGTTTTATCTATTTTAAGCAGGTTACTGGCACTGTCACAGAATCACAGAATGGTGAGGGTTGGAAGGGACCTCAAGGCTCATGAATCTCTAACGCCCCTGCCACATGCAGAGCCACCAAACTCCCCATTTAATACTAGACCAGGCTGCCCAGGGCCCCATCCTATCTGCCCTTCAACACCTCCAGGGACGGGGCATTCTGTGAAGAATCAAAGAGCACTTTGTGATTAAATAGTTGGGGAAAAGCAACAATTAAAGAAACATAAGCAATCTGGAATAAGACAAAAACTTAAATTTAAGATACATCCTCAAGCAAAAGGTATAGCACAGAAATTTGAAAACTCAGATAAGAGGGACAGCAATAAGCACAGGATCCTACTTAAACTGGGCCCAGAGAATAAGATCTGAGCATGCACAGAAAATAGCAGAAGCTAAAACATAACATAATAAACAATGAAATCTGAACATCTTGCTCTAAATTCAGAATTTAGAATTCACAATTGGTAGAACAATATTGCCTAATAATTGCACAGAATGCACTCTCAAGCATGTAAAAATAAGACTGTCTCAACAGCAGGGAAAAAACACGCCGCATGTTGAAGAGCGGTTAAACCAATTCAGATTAACAATTTAATAGCGCTAACAAGCATTAGAGAATCCTTTGGATTGAAATCCCAGGCTTAGGTAGTGGCAAGTAAAATTGCCAGGATATTGTCACTGACTGCTCAGCCAGAAAAGACAGTAATCATGAGATGGTAACAAAGGTGCTAGGCAAAGAACCACAACATTCTTACACAACATACCTGCCCTGTGAAGCAGTCGTTTTAGAGATTCACAAGAAAATAAGTCAACGGAGCAGTGTGAGAAGATTGATTTTAGGGCATTTTTACTAAGGATGCATGTTTTAAAAGTGACTACAATGCAGAATAAATAAATAAATAAATCAACATTTTTGAAGAAGCAAAGAAAGCCATGAAAACATTTACTACAATGATCTTAAACTCAAACCAGGAGAGCTATACAAAACAGAGAAGATTTTAAAAAGGAACAGAAAGTAAGCCCCAAAGGATAGAGCCTGTTCTAAATGCAGGGACATTTCAAAGACAGTGTGTTGGAGAAAAAGAACCACTGCCTGCCAGCTATTAAAAGACTTAAAAGAGATGAGAGGGAAGTGAGCACAACTGAACAGCACAGTACGTAAAAAGAAACTATTAGAAAGTGCTTTTCAATGAGCTGAAGTTGCATTCAAATACGTGAGAAACCAAGAACCAAAGTAGCTTTATATGGAGGAGTCTGGGAAGGCTCTTGTTCTAGAACCCTTCTTTACAGGTAACATGACAAAGTATTACCTCAGAGTGAAATGTCAGGAGACTAAAGAGTCAGATGAGTGGTAAGACCCAGGACCAGATGGTGTTCACCCAAGAGATCTAAAGCTAAATCCCAGCATAAAAACTCTCACTTAAAACTGACTTAATACACCTTCCTCTACACCAGGTTGCTCACAGCCCCATCCAGCCTGGCCTGGAATGCTTCCAGGGAGGGGACATCCACAACATCACTGGGCAACCTTTCCAGTGTCTCACCACCCTCACAGTAAATGATTGATATCTTTATGAAACTGAGTTAAACTGATCACAGGGTACCTCAAAGACACTTTGAAAACACCCCATATCTTTACATGGTCAACTGATCAACAAAAAAAACCACAGATATACTACTACTTGTTTGCCTCTTTCTCTCATTCCTCTTTAGGTATCCACTGCTGCCTTCTTGTCTAAGAGGATCTTGACTGAGATTGATTCTGGCCTTTCTTCAGCTACAGCATGGACATTCTGACCTATGCAAGCGTGAAACAGATAAAGCACTTACAACTGGAAATATTTACTGCAGAAGTACATGGGAAAGACTGCCAAAACATACCTGGGCTTTTGTCTGTGACTAATATAGAGGTTTCCCACCTAAGACACATTACCTTTCAAGATGATATGTAAAACTACCTTAAAAAAAAAAAAACAAACAACAAACAAGACCCCTTCCTTAAAATAGTAAGAAAGGACAACAACAAATCCCCATATAAAGGTGTAGACACTGCAGCATTGAGCTGTTTTGGATACATGATCTCATTTATCAGCTTCTCTGTCATGTACCACAGTTGTCCTTCATTTACGGGTGTTGATAACTTACATGCTAGCCATTGCAGATATAAGGCCTCCTGTCTTAGCACAATGCCATCAAGCAGCCTAATAGGGTCCAGGGCTCTCCAGATCTTCAGTTTTCAATTGAGAAATTTACTTTCTGTTCTAACGATATGCTAAGATTTAGTCATTACAAATACAAATGAATTAGATTTATGCCCAGCAACTATACTTGTGTTTCTGTACTTGTCTTTAGCAAGAAGATATTTATGACCTCCTTTTGAAATGGAAAAGAGAATGTCAATGTTTTTAAAAGACAACTTTTTGACAACTTAAACAAATACTATTTTTAAATAGCTCACAAAAAACCTTCTAGTGACTCAAGAAAACACGATCATTTGCTGCACATTCTAGTTTGAACTTTAGCTTCTCAAGGCTAGTTCTTGCAATTTAAACTATCTCAGCCTTTTCAGAGCTCTATTTTCACTGCAGTGAGATCATTATCTGCTGAACATTTCTAGAAAGCTAATATGATAGTTGCACACTTGCCAGTGTTATCAGTCTTAAAAATATTTTTATACTCATGTAACAAAGCCTCTAAAGCAGTTGCTGTGCACTATATAAATATAAATCAACAGCAAGAGCTTTGGGCAGTTTTATTAGTTTTACTCTCCCCCAAACTAAACTTCGCAATGCTTGCCCCCCCCAAAAAAACAACCAACAGCATATCCAACAGACCATTTTTCCAATACGCATTTAAAGCACACTCAAAATGCACAACCCACACAATGCAATGTTTAATTTCAGTGACCAAAAACCAACCTGCTCAGACCCTGAGTAAGCTCCTACCTGCACCGCCTGCCAACTTCTAACATCAAAATTGCAGTAAAGTAACTTAAATTTATGCTACAGAAGGAGACATCCATTTCTTAATATCTTCAGTTTGCTTACATTCTACATCCTAACAACTGAGAAGTACTTATTAGCTAAAATTGTGTAAATATATAAATGTAAAATGAAATAAAAATATTTTATATTTAGCATTTACAGGATTATCTCTAATAAAATTCAAATACAAAGAGAAACTGAGTATGTTATAGTCTCTGACTTTAGGTAATTTTTTTCTTCCAAGTTTAGGCATAGTACATGGCTCCCACTGACGCTAGCAATAAAGGAAGGAGTTTTTCAGACGTGAGTCTGCAGGGAATACTCTTCAGAGTACAAATACAAATAAAAAAGGAAACCACAAGGTTTTTCGTGCCCCCAAGTTGACTTTTGTGACACTATAATCTACACAGCAAGTATCAGAACTTGCTTAGTAGACTGAATTTGAAGAATACAAAGTCAGACTTCACCTGAAAACAAACATTTATGTTGCAAGACAAGCATTTGCAGTCAAGTTTAAAGAAAAACAGAAATAAAAGCTTATAATGTAACAAAGAAGAAAATTAATCGCAGTTATATGTCAATACATGGTGGTTTCATTCCTTCAAACGTGACCAAAAGAATGCTTACAATACATACTTTTCAGTACTTTCCTCATAAGAAAACACATTTTTCATACAATCCATAAAAAGCTTATTCATTTGATACTCAAACTCCTCCAATACTCAATCTTTCATTTTTCAAATGCAACAGATTACAGGTGAAAAGATTCTTCAAGATGAGAAAGAAGCAACTGTGACCATCCACACGACGACACATCATTGGTCACGTCTGTGCTAGAAACACTCCAGCAAATGCACTCTCGCCTAGTCCAATTCCCATTCATCCTACTCGCATCTACAACAAGCAACCACTGAAGAACTATACACCTTAATATGGCTTTCTTTTTGCTTTGTGAGAAACTACCTTTAGTTAGAATCACATGAAGAAATCTATTTGCATAAAAGATCTTCAATTATTTCTCACATTGAAAACATGGAATTTTGATTTGTTTTCTCCACATAGATTCAGCTAACAAAGGGATTCATTAAGAGCATTTCTGTAGAAGATTGTGTACTTGATTACAGTTTCAAAAGGAATTACAAAATGAGATCACCCAAGTAAATACTATGATCTACAGCATAGACTTTTGACATAGACTCATGCAAAGACTTTTCCCCACACGGACTCCACTGTTAAGGACTTACCATAGGTGACAAATGTCCTTCGTTGTTGCTCAAACATGAAATCATTGATGTGAGCTGGCTCTGCATATCCAGAGAGCATATTTCTAGGTGCAGCCATTTGCTGAGTCCGAAATGGGTTTTCTGGTCCAAACTACACCAATAACATTAAAAGAAATAAATCAGAGTTACTAATTTGTTATTTTTATGCATGAAAGAAAAGCAAACAAAAACAACAACAAAACAGAAACACAAAAAACACGGAGAATAGTTATGTCTTTCAAAAAAGGTAATGATAAGCCACTCCAGCTTTCTGTTTCTATTCCTTTAAGTCCACCGAATCAGTCTTAGATCACTATCACAGCCTGAACAGCCTATTTTATGATTGAACTTTCTAGCCTATATTACCACTACAGAAGACAAATCAGTATCAGCTACTTGACACAAAAGATTTCTATTCATTATGTGGTCAGTTCAAGCACATTCAGAACACAAAACTACAGTGTACTGTTCCTTATAAGGAACAAGTCCTATAAAACTCTTGTAGCTCATACAGAAATTGCACTTCACATTTTCATGCATGTAAAAAGCAGCTAGGGACTTGTTGTATTACTCTAGAATAAACACTTATGAAACTCTGCCTTGCTTTTTTCTTGCAAGATGACAAATGCCAAAGGCTTCCTAAACATACCATGGATGAGCAAAAGTATTGAAACCATGAATGCAAACACACACAATACACAGATTAACATCAAACTACATTTATATGTAAGCACTGTGCTTGTCAATCACGTTCACAGCCACCTGAGACTGTTCCACATTAGGCTTCTCTAACACTTACACAAGATAAGACTGTAGTAATTTTAAATCAGTGTTTTTTCCTCACATTCCTTATGGATTTGAAATGACCTGCTGGAAGTTGCAAAATGCTACCTTGCTAGGAAAAGATCAGTTTATATGGTTCCACAAAATGTTTTCTAAACGTGAAGTACAAACGATGCAGAAATTTTAGATTGAAGCAGGGTCATCTTAGCATGAATAATTCAAGGAACAGACAGGCTTTTATCTACCTGGAATGCTAGCCTCTGATCTCACAACAGGCAAACTGTACAAAGAAGTTAAATACTGCAAAAAAGTTAAATGCTTGAACAGCTGTTTTCATCCTTTGGATAGCTGTCAGTTATAAAATCCTGTCAGTTACAAAATAGAAAGTGGTTCACATAGCACTAGGCTATCCAACTTCAGCCTAAAGTGGCTTCCCACCCTACACATTAGAAAATCTTAACTTACTGAAACAACACTGGATGCGAATAGTTGTACTGGAAGTAACTAAGAGTTTGATTTCAAACCTTATAAACAATCTATCTGCTAGATTTACAACAATTTATTTTGCAAAGTGACGTGATGAGTAAATAGGAAAAATGTGAAAACAGTAAGAGACTACTTCAGTGCTGTTTGTTTTACTCAATATTTTTTATGTTTTCCAAGCCTTAACTTTAAAGTTCTCATCCTGACAATCACTATTTCTTAGAACAGTTTTCCGCAGAATATTAAAATTCAAAATTAAAATTAGCACCTATGTACCTATCTATGGATAATCTTTTTACAGTTTGCACAAACTAGATTCCTAACTAGAGCAGGCATTCAAAGAAAATATGTCTTATTTGATTTCCGCATGAGAATTACAGAGCCTCTAAGTGAAATAAATTTCTGCTGTAAATACCAGCATTGTTTCTTACCTCAGGTGCAAACATGGTCTCATAAGTAGGATTGTACTGAACTTCCTTAATAGCAGGATCAAGATGGACTCCTGTTTCCACATCTTCCTGAAATAAAACAGACATACAAGAACATCATTTTGCATATTCAGATTTTAAAATGTGTATTACTCCATTTCAGACCAAATTAATGCTGGGTTTCAGGTGGATGCTTTTAGTGCTATAGAAGGAGAAACACTGTTTGGCCACAGTCACTATTTAAAAAAAGGAAAAGAAAAATTGCAAAAGAAACACTTACATAAATCTTACATGGCTACTACTATATTATTTCCTTAAAAAAAAAAAAAAAAAAAAAAAAAAAAAGACTTATTGCATACACTTTAAAGATAGTAGCAAGATTAGAAGTAAGCTTTCTTTTACCCAGGATGTTTGAAAGCCATACCTTCTAAAGAAGGGTCAGGTTAAATGGTCACCAATTTGATATCAAAGTGTGAAAGATAGATTTTTACAAAAGGAAAATGGCAGAAGTCACAAGTAACTGCTTTGAGAAATAGCCCCCCAAAAAAGAATCAGACATCAGAGCAGACACATATAACAGCAAGTTTTAGATAATCCAACGACCTCTCATCCCCACATTTTTACCAAAAGGTATAAATGTATAAACGTAACCCAGTTTCAGTTTTAAAACATGTCTCCAAGTCTGCTGAGACAACAATTTAACTTGACAGATGAAGAAAGAGGGGCTAACCAGAAGCATAACTTCTCTAACAACTCAAAGGGAAAAACTCAGAAGTGCACACACAGCTGAAGTAGAAGAGAAGAGATAAAATGGGAAAGCAAAGTCTGATTAGGTGGCAGCGCTCAAAAAGATTTGGCTTCAAAGAGTTCTACAAAGGCTCATTTACTTTGAGCCTAAATTGATGCTGTTTTCCCTCATCCCCCAATTAAGGGCTAAATTTCACACAGGAGAATGTTATTTTGTGGCATTGCTACAAGCATTGCTTCCTGCATCTTCATTCCAGAATAAAGGTATTTATAATGTGCTTGTATATTCATAATATTCCTAACAATTATCCTGAAGGTTGCACAGCATCAGTATTTCATCAGTGCTTAGCTACAGCAGGATCCAAACGTATCTGCACGTCACAGCTTCACCCTTACCACACACCAATTATTTTTACAGGTAGGTCCAGCCATTGTGCTGCTCCCACTGGAGCCATAGCACTGCCCGCTCTTTGCCTGACCTCATTTCTGTTGTCCCCCAAACTTCCTGAGTTACTGGGTCTATATAAAACAGCTCCTGCCACATTCACAGCCCTGACGTTCAAATGTGGTGAACTTACCCAGAAACAGCACAGCAGGCCTAATCCAGTCATTCAGCAACATGACAGACAACACCTCCGCACTCAGCTGGAATAGGAGCACTTCAAAACCATTTCCCAACCTACAATACCTACACACTCTTATTTCCTTGCACAGTTCTACAGCCCGAGGAGGTTTTGCTCTGCCAGGTAGACTTCAGATCTTATCCACCAGTCTTATCTGAAGAAATGAATAATGTTGATAATATGGCAAAATGTATCTGGCCAACTATCAGTGACATTTAAACAGTTACTAGGGTTCCAGAAATTCAGGCATAGGGTTTTTTTTCCCTGTTCTTTCAGAAGTCAAAGAAATCCAGTTTTGCAATAATGCCAAGAATTGTTCCATTCTGCTATTTTTCCTCCTCCCTTCTCTATGTTCAGTCCTATTACATGCCGTTTGGTAAATGAGAAAAGAAACAGATTGTGTCTTGAAAGCTGATCCTCTGCTGGATGATTATAGCAATTCTGGTTCTCCCTCACTGCTGGTGGAACAGCGCTGAGTCATTTGGAAGCTGCACAATATGTTCGCGTCGAGACCACCACAGGCATATCCCTTCTGCCTGAAAACCACTGAGCCTTGAAAGCAAAGCATGTGTCGAAGTTTTCAGAGCCATGCTCACCAGTTTCTGTACTTTTGAGCACCAGATGATGATTTGCAACTGTGCTGCTGCCGGAGGAAATCAGTTGTCTTTTTTGTGATGCCGTCTCCCTTTAAGTTATATGACAATTTGAACACATCCCAAGCTCCCAGCTTCACCTGCTCAGTATTTTAAGCACTGGATACCCACAGAGTAATACACAACGTATTCTGAAATGTTAGCCTAACTGAGGCGAATCATTCGTTCTTCGGTCAAGGTCTGATAAATGTCAGTCTGAACAGCACTGTGGAACAGTCAGGTAACAAGCACTGAACATGTGCAGTGTCAAGACCCACCATCATTCACTTAGATCACCAATCATTTGACAAAGTGGCAAGCAATCTGCACTGGGGGTGTTCTTTCTATGGAAGCAAAGAATGCAACAGAAACAAGAAGCCCCATCCTCTGCAGATGGCAAACATCACAAGGCACACCGGTATACCTTATTTTAGCTGAACTTGCCCTTCTGATATTGAGGAAGTGGGAAGTTTTAGGAGTTATATTTTATTTAATATGAGTTTTTGAAAGACATAACCCAATGGTGCTGCAAACTCCAGGTCCCCACGTTCTCTCTGCCTACCTTAATGCAGGGAACAAAAGCTCAGCTGTGTGCAGTGGCAATGTTGGGCACTACATACCATGTAAGCCACACATGCTACTGGAAAGGGTCCAAAACATAATATCAAGAACAATCAAAGGCATAAGAAAATATGATGTGAAGAAAAAATTGACCAACATGATTTGGCCCAAAAAAAAAAAAAAATTCAGATTATAGAACTTAACAGAAGCCAAGTACAGCAAAACAGTGAAATTGCAGCTTGTTAATCTACTGAAGTTTGGTAAATACAACTTAAATGAGTGTGTGTCCAGATGACAGAGGTATCACCCTTGATACAAGGCAAAAATGGAACAGATGACATCAGTGAAGCACTTAGGGCATTCTCTCTCTCCTCATCTCTTATAACACGACTGCTACTTCTGCCACATCAGGTTGATTTATAGTTCAGATGTTATTTGGTTAGGTATATAAAAATGCTTTGATTCTTAAATGCTTTCCCCTTTTACCTGTTTGCTGTTGTGTTTCATCCCACAACACTACATCACACGCTGTCAGAGGAAGGGCACTTAGGGCTGAACTCTGGAGCATCAGCGTTTCCTAAGGAATCTACCTGGAGGCATACAGAAGCTAAGCAGAGACAAGCAAGCGCTTCATTCCAGCTCCTCAGAGATCACAGACTGTCTAGCTGCTGCCAAGGTGCCCTCTCTAAATCCTACCATAAAGATCCTGTGGCCACTTTAAAGTTAGCAGAGATAAGAGCATGGGAAATACAAGGGATTTTAAAGCATAAGTACAGTAAACCAGATTAGATTTCCTTTATATGGGCTCCTTGCACATGCCAGTCCTTCTTCAGGAAAAATATACCTGAGTACCATTAAAAAAAACCATTACAATCCATGAAAGACACTTGATTTGTAAAATGCAAGATAGTTCAATAATAATAATAACAACAACAAAAAAATCTGGAAAATGCATGTTAAAAGTTTCTTTTATAGGCTTGCAAGACAAAAATATCCTTGATTTAAATGCAGATCAAATTCCTGAAGAACAATCCCAAATAAAAGCAACAAACTACAGTATGGATGCAGCTCATTTTGTTCCTTTGTAATAAGATAATGTTGCTTAGTGCAACTCACAATTCCTTTAATCCACAATGTTTTTAAGTTTCAGCCAAATGTTATAATCCTCATTGTGCTAGCATGTGGCTGCCTTCAAGTTTAATGAGAGCTGTCAATGTACTTAAGAAGCAGAATTTGACAAATTTCAACCATGTGTCTAAACTTGATGTTTAATAGAAGCAAAAGTCATAGCTTTTTGGTTTCATATCTTCCAAGCAAGAAGTTGTGATATATAAGTGGGTTGTCTTTTCTGTTGGACATTTTAGACAACAAACCTCACATTTCCTTCTCTCCAACTAAATTCACTGTTAATTATCCAATAGCTAAAATGTACAGTCCACACTGCACAGAATTTAATTAGCTTACTTACTTTTTAGAATTAAAATGCACTAAATTAAGGCCCCATACCATAAGTTGCACAGGCTGAAGCAGTTTGTTACTTACCCATTCTTACATAAATCTCTTGGCCTGTCAGGTAAACAGCATGCTCTCCTCCCATACATTTTTAGATTTATTACCAAGAGATGAATTACATTTATAGTAAGGCACCAACATAAAGATTTGGTTCTTACCACCTCTTAGTGCGTGTGAATGAGTAAAATGACTAACAGTACATGTTCATCCCAATGACTTGGAAATAATAAAATTAGACTGGCAAGAAAAGCAGATGTCAAATAGTTTTGCTAAGCTATGCTAGATATCCTGCATCTTGCATTCTGTACAACATATTTTGTGACAACAAATAGAAAAGAAAACAATAAAAACACGTTAAAAGAAGTCAGTGTCCCTAACAGACCACCCCACAAGTCATTAAACTTCATTATTGCTATCCCATGGTTACACAGTGACTGTGAGCCTTTCCTCTCCACAACTGGGCAAGAAACAGATTTTAAAGAACATTAAGAAACGTGAATGAAGTCTACTTTTTTCCCCTTGAAGTTATATTTTTCTGGACACCTACATACTGGTACCAGTTCCAACAGATAAAAAAAAAAAAATAGACTTAAGACTCCTAGCCCCTTCTTACATTAAATAGAGAACTTCCAGTTTCTGCAGTGGCTCAGCCCAGTTGATTTCAACTTGCTGAGCATCCTTCTCCTAAAAACAGGGAATGAGACACTGTAGGCAAATAAGGAACAGTTCCCATCCAAGTCTCACCCTGAGCTGACGCAGATCGGACAAAGAATAAATATTATCTCCCAAAGCAATAATTGTAACTGCAACACTTCATGTAAAACTGATTTCTTCACAGGATGTGTAATTTCCTACATTTCCTTCAGCATTTTTAATTCCCTAATTCACAAGTTTGCAAGCAACCACAAGATGAATTTTTTTTTGTATCAACAGAAGCTGATGTTAAAGACCAAGTAACTGAGTCTCTGTGTTCGAGTGCTTCACACAACATTCTTAATTTACCCCCCCCAAAAAAGGCCAACACATAGACACCATACTTAGCCAGCCTCTGGATATCTAACAGCAGGTGGGCTCCAGATCATCAGACTTTCACTAGGCAAACATATTCTGTGCTTCTCCTCAGTCTGTTAGTTGTAACAGCGTCAGAAGTCCTGTACACAGAACTGGTTGCTTTAAGAACCTTGCTTGTCATACCAAGAGGGTGGTTCACAAGAGATACTGCATAAAGGTGGTACCTGCTTCTCATCGTAACTGCACCGAATCTCACCCCAAAACTGGTTAAAGAAAAAACACCCATAAAAATCCCTCAAGCTACACAACAGGATGGTGTCTGCTCAGCCAGTGCAGTCACTGTGGAGTCACTTTGCGCAGCTCTGCTCCCACCACAAGTGCAGGGACCTGCCATATCTCACACACAGAGTGAGAAACGGACCTTCTCCTTTGCAGGAAATGCCACTGCCAGCAAGGAGTTGACAAGAGTAGCACATATGTCAACAATCTAACAAACTGACACAAACTGGGATTCACAGGACCCACTTATTTATCACAGGGTTTCTACCTGAAAGAAACACCATTCTTTTGACAGAATGGAGAAGTGGTGAATCTCCACTCGCTTGCTGCAGGAGCTGAGGGTACCACATTACATATGTCCAGTTACCATGTGCTGTACCTTGGGGTGACTGCAGCTGCAGAGAAGGTAGCTCCCAGCCCCTGCTAATAGCAGCTGTGCTCCTCTTCCTTCATAAAACAGCTTTTGTCAACAACACTGTCATGCTTACTCAAAAAACACCAATAGAGATCAGACAGAAAAATATCTTGACTTATTTATCCATGTTCTCCACAAAAGAAAGCAGCAGCCCTACAGTAACTGCACCTCCAGGAAAGCAAGAACAGGGCAGGTATAGAGGATACTTTTTCTGCACCCTCCCAGTCTCCAACTATTTGCAGTGCAGAAGACTCAGTGAGCTCGACGCAATCTGTGTATCTGCTAACACCTCTTCCTTCATCAAATCTCCTCCAAGCACTTGTCCAGACTCTACTTGTGATAACATAAACTTCTAGCACAGGCAATATGCCTTGGCACTGGATTAGCCCTACTACATGCCACTTGAAGAGCTGCACCTATTTGTTTTAAAACTGGCTCCTACCAGTTAGCTTAAAGCTCCTATACTGGAAGAGGCAATAAATATTCAATCCCCTCTGCCATCAAAGATTTCATAGGTCTGAGTCACACTTTTCACCTCAGTCATCTCCCTCCCAGTTTTGGCCTGTTCCCTAACCCCTCACAAAGCAGCACTAACTTCACTCAACCATGCTGTTCTTCTATAGTGCCATTTTTCAGACAAGTTCCCACTGAGGAGCTTCAGGCCACAGTGAGGCTTCCTTTTAGCCTTCGCTGCTCTGGGCCAAACAAGCCAAGCGACCTCAGTCCTTTCTCATGCAGATCTTCCACCATCTTCACAGCACTCCTCTGGACAGTCTCTAATACTTTCATGTCTTTCTACATCCTTCTGTGTCCTCTTTATGTCCCATCAGGTGCCCAAACCTGCACACCTTAGGGCTACTTGATAAGCATGGTTAAGAAACAGTAAAAAAAAAAAAAAAAAACAACCAAAAATACTGTCATTGATTGAGCTAACCAATACACCTTGCTAATAGAGTGAAGAATCCATTCGTCTTTAACGTTCAAGTCTGAAATCCGTGCAAGTCAAGATATAATTCTCAACAAGGAATAAGTACAACGATTAGGATCGGTGTGAGGAACCTGGATACTTAGGACTGACATTCTCAGTAGCCAGAACCACAGTCATGTGTGGCTGCCATTCACATTATGTGACTAACCCTTCAGCCTCCCCTCTTATAAGCATCACTTCTTACGCATTTCCAGTTCCTCGTGTATTGCCTATCCGTGCACTCAGGAGTACTTGACCCTTATTCGTGTCAAAACAGCACTTGCACAAGTAAAGCGATACTCATGAACTGTAACCCTGCTTTCCCCCTCACTCGCTGTTTTTCTCAAACTATACGCAGAGAACGATTGTCACCTGCACTCAAAACAGTGCTTCTTTACCGCCTAGAGCTTTCTAACCCTAAAATAATTAGACAAAAAAATCCGGACGGAGTGACGGGCAAGCTCTCACCGCCTCACACACAGACGGCAGCTATACCCCGACACCTCCCCACCCCCCGTCCGGGACCCCAAAGGTGGACTCAGCTTCGGTCTGCTCCCGTACCTTCACCGCCACTTCCGGGGCCGCGTCCACGGGCAGAGCCGGGGGCGCTGCGGGCGGCGGCCGGAGGTGCAGCACAGCGTCACGGCTAGCGAGCACGACGGCGCGCTGTGGACCGGCATCGGCTTCGGGCTCCGAATCGGGCTCCGAGTCGGAGCCGCCGTAGGAGGCGAGAGCGGCGATGGCCGCCGACATCTTGGCGCGGGGGTGGCGGGGACGGGCGGGTCCTGGCAGCTACGTGGCTCTCGTCGTGGGTCTTACCCAGGGAGCGGGTCGGGCGGAGTGACGTGGTAAACGGTATCTCAGTAAAACTCTAAATACGTTTTATAGTATAAAGCACGGTGCTTTATGGGATATACAGGTGTCTGGGGCGGGTTTCGTTTCTCACTTCTGCTATCTGTTCTTAATCTTCCAGGACCGCCGGGCGGGACTACAGTACCCAGCATGCAGTGCGGCTCAGCCCGGCCGGAGGGGGGGGCTGTGCAACGGCTCGAGACGGGGGGACGGGGATTTCGCCACTGCCGCTCGCTATGGGCGGCCTGCTGCTTATTCTCTCGTACGCCGCGGCAAGCAGGCAAGCGGGGCAGCCCGCAAGTCACCGCGCCGCCAAGCTTACAGCGAACCGTCCCCGTCTCCACGAAGAGAGGGGACGGGCCACTGCCGCCGTCGCCAGGGGACAGCCGCGGGCCCGGAATGCCCCGCCCCCTGCCCGTGATTGGCCGTCAGCAGCCGGCTTCTGATACGTAACGATGGACGGCACCGCCCACCTCGGCTGTCGAAGGGGGAGGGGGAGCGCGACGGGCCGGACCGTACCACCTGTCGCCCGTGGGGGGGGTGGCAGCGCGGTGGGCTCGCCTCCCTGGCGCGGCGTGGACGAGGGGCGGCGGCGCGTGGAGCAGCCCGAGCGGCGGGCGGGGGCGGCTCGCTCCGGCCGCTGGGTAAACAGCCCTGCCTCCCGCCTGCCGCCCGCCCCGGCTCAGGCTCCTCCTCCCGCACGCGCTGCCCCGTGCCTATTGTGAAGGCTTCGGGTCGCTCCGCACCCCCGCTGCCTCCCTCGCGGCGGCGGCGGGCCGGTGGCCCTCCCTCACGCCCACCTCTCCTCAGCGGTGGTGCGCGCGCGCGGAATGGCCGCGGCCGTTTGAAGTCGGCGGTGCCCGGCGGGGGTGTCGTGCGGGAGCAGCCGGTAAGCGCCGCGCGGGTGGTGGGGGCGCGTCCGCCGCCAGGTGCTGCTCCGCCGCCCGGTGCGGGCGGTGACGTCAGCGCGGGCAGGTGCGGGGAGCGGGGGTCCGGGCGGCCGCAGGCCCGGGTGCTGCCAGCGCCGCGCCCCTCACGGCCCCCGCGGACGGAGGGACGGAGGGAGGGGGCGGCTGGGGCTCTGTTGGCTCCGGGCTCTGCGGCCGCGTTGCGGGGTTCGGGGCTGGAGCGGCTCCGGGCTGACATCCGGCTGCGGCGGCGCTCCGAGCTCCTTCGCTGCCCGCTCTCAAACAAGTGCTGTGCGTGCGCGATGCAACTTGGTCGCTTTTAGCAATTTAGATGGAAGAGATGTAAGGGGCGAAGAGAAAAGGCAGCTGGCGTTCCCCCGCCGTGCCTCGCTCCGGTGTTCGCCGTGCGCTAGGAGCGCGGCCGTGCCTCCTCTTTGTACACTGACTGCTATGGGGCTGCAGGTGAAGCCCCGCGTTTCCAACGCCGAGCCCGTTCCTTTGTTTGCGGCTGTGAAGGCTGAAGCGGGCTGCCGCGAACTCGTGCGGCTGCAAGCCGCTGTCCGATCGCACCTATCGATGGGGCTGACGGGTGTGCACGGGAAACCGCGAGGCACGCCGTGCCCATCGCTCAGCGCCGGCAGAAGTAGATCCTCCAACGCCGCCGGTTTGTCGGTGCCATCATTAACCGATTCCATATGAGTGCATTCCTTTTTCCTTGGCGTGCAGATGCCGGGTACTGCCTGAAGTTGGAACGTGCGCCTCCGAGTGCTTCGGGGTCGATCTGCGATGCTCTTATCTGCAGAACTGTGTTGAAAATGCCTAATTCTGCTTTGTTGTCCTCAATTCTGAACGTGCAGCTGATGGGGCCATGGTAGTTTTGCTTAAGCACGTTGAGCTATGTTGTGTCCCAACATCCCTGATCGCTCGCCGGTAATATTTAATCATTTCAGATTCTGGTTGTTTTCACTGTATAGCCTGTGAGAATCGCTGGCTGGTTTAAATTAGTTGCCTTTCTGGATCTGCCCTGGTACCATCAGGGCAGTAAGCACACAAGCACTTTGCTGAATAAAGTTTCTATTTGCTTACAATGTAGAAAAGATTAATTTTCAGCTAGCAGTCGGATACGACATCTCATTTTTGAATACGAAATGCTGACCTGATTATGTTTTAATTACAGAAAAAGTAAGTGTAGAAGGATAAGATGTGTGGCTCCTCTTAAAACCTGGTTTTGTTGAAAAAGCTGATGAATTGCCACTTGTTATTTCTGTCTAGATGCCGTGTTAAGCCTTAGTGATTGCTAACTGGGTGTTTTGGATTCAAGAAGGGATCGATCAGCATCAAATGAAGAGTGATATGATTTATAAGAACAAGTCTCCCTGATTACTGCATGCTGAAGTGTGTTCTGTTTTAATCACCTTCTCAAAACCGTTTTGGGCTGGTAGAGGATGCTGCTGGTTCTGAATGAAGGCATCCTGCATTGGTGGGTGGAAGATTTGGAATACCTGGCTTCTCGTCCATTTCACTCTTTCCACCTCTGTTTCTCCCTGTGGTTGTTTTGCCTCTCTTAGTCTGATTTCTCCAAAGATAGATGGAAATGCCCCACTTTCTGCAGCATTCTTGCTTTTGGAGCGAGCCGTTTGACACCTGGTGCTGACTGCTTGTGGTGATGAATGCTACACCAAGTGCTATCAAGCCTTTCTTGTTTCCCAGGTGAAAGAGAGAAATATTTTAAAGTAGGGCTTCTTTCTCTCTTTTAAATCATGTGGATGTTTGTAAGCTCTGATGTTTTGTTGGTTCTTCTTTTTTCCCTTGTTTAAAACATTTATAGTCTTGTGCTTCTGGGGGATCATGCAATGTCTAATAAGGTCTTAATGCATACTGCAGCTTCTCCCTCAGTCAGGACACTCGTCGTATCTTGACTTCACAAACTTAATGTTTTCTTAAGCAGTTACCTTTGAAATCTCCTATCCTTTTGTCAGAACTGTTTAAATTCAGCCAGCCATTTTCCAAGCTATTTGGAAACACATGGGGGACCCCCAGCCTTCCCCAGCACTTTCCACATCGGACTAATTTCCTTAAAAAGCTGGGCTAAGGTATACTGAATCTTACCTCAGTATTTCACAGTTTTCCTTCATGTTAGTTCTTTATTCCTTACAGTAGGTAACAGAATCTGTTTCTGAATGTTTTAATGCTTTGTCCTACTTTCTTTTCCCTTTCCAAGCGTTTTCCTAGCTCTTTTTTCCACCATGGGTGTGCTTTATCTCATACCCTGTGTTTTCTGCTGGCTTTTTTCCCCCACAGAAGATGCTGCATATAATCCTGCTTGTTCTCGTTTTTCTATAATTTTTTTTAGCACTCTTAAACTGCTGTCAGCCCACTTGCACAAACAAGTCACTTCTCATCCACCAAGATTTGTAAGTCTGCAGTTTTGAGGAAAAAAGAACCAACAGCATTCCAGATAGTTATCAGAGGTCTGAACTAGAATATGAGGCTCCATTGTCTAAGGGAAATACAATTTGAAAGAAAACAATTTTCTTTTTCTTCTCTTCCCATGCTCTTTGGCTGCCGAAAAGAGGTATCATGATGGAGGTCTTATCAGGTTCATGTTGCTGGTTTCTGATTTGAGCTTTCTCTAACCTGCTGGTATGTCTGAGGCATCGTAATGAACTCTAATTTTACTGCTAGGAGATAGAGCATCCTTTATTACTCATACTTTGCTTTTTCTGTCACCTTGGAGTCTCTGACGGCTGCAAGGGTGGTAATACTTCTTTTCCATTTCTTGGTTTTCTGGACTATGTCCCGGATTCTCAAAGATACCAAGGCGCCAGATTGCAATAGGAGTTGTGTGTTCCAGTACATCTGTGAATCAGCCTCTGAAGTTTTTGGGGAGGAATCTTGAGGTCATCTGACACAGATTACAAGCTCTACATTTCATATTTATGAGACTTGGTTTCAAAGAAAAAAAAAGATGCAGGATAGGACTGGAGAACAAAGTGGCTTAGGCTGTTGTGATTATTTCAGATGGCTTTGCAAACAATTTTTTTTTGCTGTGTGGAGCATGCTGTGTAACCTCTTCATGCTACTCAAGTGCTTCCACTGTGCTGTGACCCACATCTTGTAACACCAGCGGAACAGTGAACATCTTGGAGAGGCAACGAGATATTAATTATAGACTTCCAGGAAAATAAACTAATTAGCATCATTAGAAACTCTCATATCATTAGTATTGGATTCCTTAATCCTCTGAAATGATTTTAAATCAGTTAAAATGCAAAATATCATTGAAAGTATACACATTTCTAAAAATGTATTTATTGTAGGTGGAAGCTGAATTAAATGTTAGCTTGCTTAGGATATTGTCTCTTTCTGTTGACTTTTTATACCAGATAACTGGTATAAAATAGCAGTAAAAGTTACATTTTTAACAAAATACTTAATAGCAGAAATAATGGATGGTTTTCAACAACTTTATATCTGACCATTGATTGACGTTTTAGCTAAAAGTAATGTCTGTGACATGGATTTTAGTCTTCAGACAGCAGACTCCACAAAGGAGTAGATTATTATGAATGCCACAACTATCTGACATTTAAAGCTTATTAGGAAACAAGAATCTGTTCTAAACCCAGGTGGTTTTTCAACATCTAATAAAAGGCATTAAATACTATTGATGCGTTTCTTACTGTTATGATATTTTTAGTGTCTTTTTTTTCCTTCCCTTTTTTTCCTGCTGTGTGGCAAGCTGCGTTCATTTACTGGGAGTATTAATAAAATCTCTGATTTCTCTCTGGCTCTTGTTTTCCTGAATGTGGAAACCCTCAGTATACTTGAGGGTCTCCAAGTTTATTGGAAATTGGTCAATATAATATGAAGTTACTGAAGGGTAGCTTCCAAGAAATCTTCTGTAAGTGATCTCTTAAAATCTGAAAATTCGTGGGAGCTCTTAAGGAAAAAACATTGCCTACATGATTTTCATCACTTACAGCTGCAAGGTCCTGCAGCTGGAAGTACATGATGGCAGCAGACTCAGCAGACTGGTGGCATGCTTGGCGATACTAACTGGTATCGGTGACAGAGACAGTTGTGCCTCACTGGTCTGATAGGGGTTTTGTTTGTACTAATGACATAGCTGATGTTCTAGTTTGATTTTAATGTTGTCCTTTCTTGTGTTTTGGAGCTGTATGTGAAGGTTCCTCATAGCTGGCTATTAAATAAGGAAACTGTAAGGCAACAGGTAAAGTATTGTCATGGGTCACAGCCTCTTAGAGGAAATAGCAGAAATAAATGTTGAGTTCTCATAGGCGGAAGGTTTTGCCTTAAATTGAGATCTGTTTAATATTAATGATCTCTGGAAGTTGATTTATAAAGCCACACACTCCAAGTTGTTTGATCACATTCAGAAATACTGGAAAGGTCATTGGAGAAGTCTCCTTAAGCTGTGCAGAAGGACAGCAAGATGACAGGTAAGACTAAGTGTCAGTATATGTAGGACTGTTTTTTGGAGGCAGAAACCATTTATCTCTCTTAAAAGATACTAAGTTAGCAGTATTAGTATAACAAGCATATTTCATCATCATTGCAGATTGCTGAGGTATCCAAGTACCCAATTTATAGCTGTAATCAGAAGTGGAGAAAAAGTATCAAGAAGGAAGTGTCATTCTATAGGAATTCTGTAATTTACTTTTTGCTATTCAGAGTTTGTAATTAACCATCAACTGGTTTTGAGGAAAAAAAACAAACAATAACAACCCATAGGATTGTAGAGAGTTTGATACAAAAGGTAGGGCAGAATTTTTAGAGTGACTGAAAAAATTGTAAGTATTTACTGCAGGAAACAAAGAGCTGATCAAACAAATGGAGATTAGAAAGTGTTAAAGTAGATGTGAATTTGTGCTGTTCAGCAGCTGATGAGAAAGGGGAAAAAAAAGCTGCATTCCGAAAATGATAATTTATTGAATTTGTACCTTTTTACAAGGACAAG